ATCAATTGTTCTACCATTTCTAATCTGCTTAATGCCAGTCTTTGATGCGTACTACTACTGACTGGTCTTGTTAAATGAACTGGAATTATGTGCAATTCTCTGACGCATTTACAATCTGCCATACTAAGAATTGTGTGCACTGCCATATTATGAATTCTTGGAGTAGTGTCTCCTGACTTTGTCAGAAGTTCTGGAAGTAAACGTTCTACACTTCTTGAAATTTCAGTCGATGATACCCTAAAAAAACATTCTTTTTAATATCGGTGTTTCTAATAGATGAAATAAATGGATGGTATATATTATATATATTTTACCTGTCTGCTGCAAATTCAGCAAAAAAAATTCTAATTAATTGTGCAGCTAAGCTATAAACACTAAAGACTTTGTCTCTTAAAGCTCTATGTAATAACAAAATTGTAGCTCTAGCAGTTTTATTTGCAGAATGTTTTGATACTTCTGGATCGAAAGTTTTTAATTCTTCTTTTAACTGCATTAATCCTTCTTCTTTATCAGTAAATTGTTTTGAATAGAACTTTTCCACCTGAATATATCATTTAATAGTAATTCGAATATTTTTTTTTGTGATTGTATATCTAAAAATTAATAATGAAAATATTTAATACCATCTCCATTCCAAATACAGTTATAGGTAATGCAGCTTGTTTCTTTTCTCTATCATTAAGTTTAGATGCAGCTTTTGTTTCTGTGCTGTCCATATGGCATTCTCTGGTGAATTCATTTGTATGCGAACTAGAATACATTATATAATTAACACACTGGGAAAATATAAAAAATGCATTATGCTTTTATATAATCAATACAAAAGATTAGATTTACTTACTGCCTTAAAGCTGGTATAGTTCTTTCCTCGTAAGCCTCGTAACTGGAACGTAGCGCAGGTCCCGCAGATTTGGTTTTTCTTCTTAATGATCCTTTATTACAATTATTCTGTCTTTCGAGTATACCATTTGTAGGACTATCGGTAACTTCTAAAAAATAAAAACAAATATTTATTCGTATCTTTAAGCAATTTTTGTTAAATTATAAATTTAATTAATTTCTTTTTTCTTTTCTTTTTCTACTTTTAGAGTATAGAAAAATTATATTATACCAGGACTACTTGGTTTTTGATGTAATGGTGATACAGGTGGTTGATGAGCTGGGCCTGTAGGTGATAAAGCTCCATCGCGATTAGGTGGAACGACTAATCTCGGAGGAGACGTAATATCTTCCGCAACGTTAGCTACGTTCGAAGTACAAGTATCCACGGTAATCGGTTCTTTTCCTTCCAATGACGATAAATTATTCTTTTCTAATGGCTATAAAAATTAATGAAAAAAGAAAAATAATTGTTTGTTTCATTTAACTTGAATACTTCTTTTTTTCTTTTTTCTATCAATTATCTCTTGTTGATTATGCAAAGCAAACTTACCCCATGAATTTCAAGTAAATCTTCGACCTCCAAACTTTGATAAACTTGTTGCCTATACTGTTGCGCCTGTGCTTTTTTCGCTTTTGCTTTGTCATAATCTTCCAAAGCTATAGCATATTTCTTTTCCAATTCGTACTTTCCAAGACGTTCTCCGGCTTTTCTTAAATTTTCCATTGCTACTTTGAGCTTCGATGCGTACTCGAACCTTTCCTCTGAAAGGTTGAATAAAATCCGTAAGAAAGGGATATTATAAACACGATCAGTTAAATATTCGATTCAGAAAATTATTACCTTCAACGGCCTGTAACTTTTTTGCTTCCATCTGTCTAATAATTTTCGCCACTTCACGATCAACATACATTTCAAATGCTAGATCATCGTAAGGGGATGTGTAATGAGGATTATATGGTGCATCTCCTTGACCACTTAATTCGTGACCATAAGGTTCTCCGAGAATATTGATCGCGATTAGACCAACCTGAATGAATATTCTAAAGTTACACTTTTGATTATGTAATGATTATTTTTATCAAATATTAGATATTAGTGAAATTCATTTCCAATTAAATTCAAATGTATACCTGATCATGGATATTGTGCGCATTGCTGTGCGATTTGTGAAGCCTGAGCTTGAGCGATACCGCTTCTGTTTCTGGAAGTGCAACGCTTTTAAGCTCTCTACTTTTATAAAGAGTAGAGGCATTGTCGGATAAGGTAATGTACCCTAAATAAATGAATTCCGACGTAACGGAAGCATTTTCTTCTTTCGTCGTCCAAATTTCCAACTTTTCCGCTGTAATATAGTATATATATATTTCTCTTTTTGATTTTTTCTCATTCAATTACATCTTCTTATAGATAACTTCATCGTGACATTGATTAGAATTATCGTTTGAAAATCGAATAACTTTTATTAAACGAAACCTTTAAACTTTATAGGCTGACATTGATGGTCTAAAGACTAATCTAGTGCTCTACAAAATCTCTTTTGTCGATGTACCATTTCCATTTCCATTTGTATAACGAGAAAAGGATGAAGAAGAGATAACGATAGGACGTAGCCTCGGAAAGTCGGATTAAGCACGGCATTAATTCGATTTTCACTCTACTCAAATTGCTTTTCAGAGAAGAAGCCGAATAAGAATTCGATACAAAGGAAACATTTTCTTTCATTTTGAAAAAAAAAGAAAAAGAAATTGAATTCTATTAATACTTTGATTTACAAATAACAAAATTAACAATAATAATATTTTTTTCATATAAAAGATTTATATATATATATATAATATATGAATATATAAATATATATACATATAATATATATATATATTTAATATATGAACATAATATATATATATATATATATTTATTTATTTATTTATTTATTTATTTATTTATTTATTCTTTAATAAATGTAGAAAATAAAAAAGTAACAAAAATTTAACTTACGTATAAGATATTGATGTGCGAGGACTTGTATCCTGGTGAGTTTTGTAGGTCCATGAAGACGCAATATAAGTTCTTGAGGATACGTACACTTTCTTGCACTTTGCCAGCCTCGTACCGTTGGTCCATGTATATTTAATTCTAAAGAAGAATGTCTATCCTCTTCGCCTGTATAAAGAAAAGAAGAAAAAAGAAAGAAAAGAAATAACGTTTCGAAACGTTCCATGAAAAATTTCTTATGTAATTTCCATTCATATAAAATTTGTACACGTGCAGCATATGAGACGTTATTTATATATTTTTAGGATTAGACGCAATCCCTAACGATAAAATACATAGATCTTTGCATTAACTTTAGAAATCACGATTCATCGTATGTTCGTTAATGTTGCATGTCAAATTACATCCTTCCGACAATTTACAAAATAAACGTCAACTAGTGTCACGCGACACTAAGGTACAAGAATTATCATGTCTTTTAATAAATAACAGAAAGAACCAGTTGATTTGAAATTCTATGATTAAGATATTTTGTCAACTCGAAGCATCAAAAAAAAAAAGAAAAAAGAAAACAACAAAGATTCTTTTCAAAGCGTATAATTGCATTTTGTTCGTGACATTTAAAAAGGATGCAAATGAACGAAATTTTAATAGCGCAATCTAAAAGAAAATCAATGCGCCTAAATACACGCAACCGTGTAAACCTCATGCCTTCGCGAAACCCCTTTGAATTTGGATGAATAAACGAATGATTGAATACCGACGAACAATACTTTTAATATTGATTATTAGGTTATAAATCTCATTTATACAATTAATTAATTTTTGCTTACTCGTGGCATAAACGACGTTGAATCCTATTTTCCTCGGCATACTTGACGAAATCTCTTTTTCTATGCAATATAATGAACGGCAACTACGACGACGGAAGAAATCAAAGTAAATTATAAAATAATAAAGAAAGGGAGAAAAAGATAGGTCAAAATTTAAAAGGCACAGCCATCTGAAAGCTCGATAGAATTGGAGCTTGCAAGTTTCACCCCGGCGCGTTGGCGGAATAACTACAACGTCTGGTCGCGGCGAAGCATGCGACAGAACTGACTGACTTGCCCTGTGTTCTTCTTGTCGTTCGACGAAAAACCCATATTTCATTCAGTTTGAATATATTTAATCAATCGTTCTTTTTGTAAATTATACAATATTAAAAAAAAAAAAAATAAAATTTACCGGAAATTTTATCGATTTTTTATATGGAACAAGTACACGTGTATCTGTTATTACAACATTGTGGTATTGTTATATTGTTTATTTGTTTCATCGATGAAATTATTATAATATCATGATAAAACAAATATTAAGAAATATTTGTAAAACTTAATATTTTTTTCTTAATTTTATTTTATTTTATTTATTTTTTTTATTATTACTAATAATAAAATTATTCTTCTTTGAAAGATTTAAAGTACTTTGCACTTTGCGAGATTATAGAGAGTATGAATTCCAGTTATATTTCATTAGATACACTTTGTCATTATAGAAAAATATAAGAAAATATCGATGTTGTCTTGATTCTCTTAAAGATGTAAAATATTTAATCGTTAAGAAAAATCTGCATTCGCAATATCTTCTTCCTTTATACTTGTGTCAAAATATAGACTGTAATATCGTAATGGATCAATAAACGGAGGCTGCGTGACGTCACAGGGTGCGGCGAGGGTGGATAAAACCGCGCGAATCGTTATACGTGCTCTGCGTCTATCATTCAAGACCACGTGAGTAAGCACGTGCTTCGAAGTACTGATATTTACTTAAACAAACCACTTAAATTAATTAATTTGTAACATTAGCTAGCATATTAATTAATAAAACTCATTAATATTAATTAATACATGCACTTAATTTTACTTATAAGATGTCTCTTAAAAATGTAATGATTATGTATAAATTACATATACCTTTCAAAATACTTACTTTGCTTAAATTATTTTATTTTTATTATCAAAGAAACCACGCGTATAAAGATATAAAAATTTTATCATATAAAATACAAATTTATAATTCTTTATTTATACGTACATATATAAATATTCCATTTTATAGCCATTTTAATATACACAAATTTTATTATCTTAATATAAAATTCAAATAAAAAAAATGCTGTTATATTTTTTAATTTAGATGTAAAATTTTTTTATGTGGTAGCAAATAAATACAGAAGACCTCTTGCAAATTGGAAAATTTCAGAACCACCCAGTTTAGATTCACCATATACTCGGTCAATAAATGCAATAGGAACTTCACCTATTGTATAATTAAATTGTCGTGCTCTTACTATCATCTCCATTTGAAATACATATCCTTTTGATACACACGATTTAATGAGTTGTTCTAATACATCTTTTTTATAAAGCCTGCAATGAAAAAGAAAAAAATATATAACAAGATTATATAATATATATAAAAAAATTAAATGTTACCTAAAGCTCCCTGTAAGATCACTCGCACCAGGTCTCAGTAAAAGTTGAGTTAGAAAATTAGCACCTCTACTTATCAATTTTCTTTTAAAATCCCAACCATGAACACCACCTCCTCCAGCATATCTAGTTCCACTAACGATATCCAAATCTTGATATTTTTGGAGTTCTATCATTTTTGGAATATACTTGGGCTTAAATACAAAATAATAATTAATCATTTATTAATGAAACGAAAAGATATATTGAATAGAAAAGTAAAAATTTCTAATTCATAAATCATTATGTAAGCACATAATAATTACATGATGAGAAAGATCTGCATCCATTAAAACAATAAAGTTTCCTGTCGCATATTTAATTCCATGCATGTAAGCTGTTCCTAGTCCAAGTTTTTTCTCCCTTGGCTTCAAAATTATTTTATCTTCCCCATAGAGTTTTTGTAACTTTTTTGCTATATCTAAAGTACCATCTGGTGAACCATCGTCTATTATAATAATTTCATATGCAAACTTACTGAAATTGTTACAAATCATAGAACATATAATTATTTATGCGGTTTAACCAAATTATAATCACTTGATATATGTCACCCACTGAGGTTATCTCTTCCGTGTAGTTACCTCTCGTCCATATATTTTACAATTAGCCATACTATAATCGGTAAATTTTCAACTTCATTATATGTAGGAAGTAGAATAGAATATTTATCGTTTTTGGATAATTCTTTCATAGCTGTTAAAATCTGTTCGTGTTCCTTAAACATTATAACAACTCGTAAAAACCTGTTTTTGACGTGACACGAAGTCAATGAAACCAAATGAAATAAAAACTGTGTAGTTTCTTCAAAGCTAGGTGTCGTTGTTTGTAACGATCCCTAATGGACAAGCTCTATCGATAAAATAATTATAAATAAAACTGTTAATTTTTTTCAAATGAAATATTTAATACATTTATCTTTCAATAATAAACTTTATCTTTTAGTTTAATACAAATCTTACCTATTATGGAAATGCAAATAACCAATTAATTTATATTTATATCCCATGCTGAAAATCTGTGAGAAAAAAAACTTAAATAGATAGAAAAACAATTATCTAAACAATTTAAACAACTCAGTTCTTTATTAAAATTGCTTAAAGTTAAGAAATATTTACATGCTTAATAAATCATGTTTAAGATCAGTAGATTGACGGATGGATAGAATATTCTTTGTACAAAGTTTTTGTGTAATTTCAGCTTTTCAAGCTACTCAAAAGTTTTAATGTCAATTGAGAACGTGATTTTAATGATTTGCAACTTTGTACGAGACTGGCTTGTCCTTGCTTTATAATCATGGCACATATTTTATCTTCACCATCTAATCCTGTTTGAAATGGATACATCTCTAATTGTTTTAAAGCTGCATCTAAATGTCGCACTTTTTCTGTGAGAAAAACAGCAATTTCTCGCCAACTCTATAATAAGATTAATAAGTTAATGAATAATAATATATATCATTTTGATAAATTGCTAATATATCATACAATATTTACACATTTCATCTTACCTCATGACTTTCATTTTTCTTATTCTTTCTATTCGATGTTATAGGTTGAAATCGTGATATATATGAAATACACATTGCACTAATTATTGCAAGTGTTTCACTACACGTAGAGACTCTTAATAAAATGTTTTTGTAAGATATAGGATTGTTGTGTTCAGGAAGACATAGTGGTTGTAAACATAAACTATTTTTGAGCATTTCTATACAATCGTTATAAAGAGAAAAAGATTGACCTAAAAATTCTGCAAATCGCGCTATAGTTTTCAATTGTTCAGAATAATGAGCCTCGCGTAACCTTTCTACTGCATCTAAAGGAACTAACACACCATATGGTTTATCTCTTTTCTCGTCTATATTGAACTTTTGAAGGATTTCAGGAATAAGATCATTATCTAATTGTTGCAAATCTGTTGAGAGACAAAAAAGAAGTGAAGGATTTGGCTCTGCTGTTGCTGCTAGAATTCGTAAAATTAAATTTCGTGCTGCAAGTAGTCTTAACATGCATACACAAGTTTCTTCTCGTTTTCTCGGATCTTCGCCATTTTCAGATAAAGGTTCCCATTCACGTACAACCTATTTCCATATGCACAAAAAAACTTTATAAGAACGAAATACAAAAATTTGTAATACTGTACATAATATAAATAATCATGATATATACCTCCAAATCACGATTATCACGTAATTGATCCCACCTGATTCTATCTTCATGTGGTTGAATATGCATACTAGTCAAAGCAGAAAAGAGAGACTTAAAATTATCACAACAACTCAAATCTAATAACATTTTGTCAATAGTTGTCACAGCAAAATGTAAAGAATTTTCCAGATGTTCTCTCAATTCCATAAATTCTTGAATTTTTGTAAAACTTCCATATTTGTAAGCGAATGTTAAATAATCTGCACTCTACAATAAAAACAAGAAGTATGAGTAGTCTTTTTATTGAAATTCTTAAAATAAATTTTTTTATATTTGAATATCATTGAGTGAAAAATGAAGATAATAACTCTACTATGTTTTATAATACATACATCCTTATAATTAGCAATAAAGAACTTTGTAGAATGATCAAGTGTTGTTGAAGCCAATGATAAATGCCCAAGTGGTGCAAGAAGAGGTACATGTAGATAGCCCAGTGAATCCAACTGAATATGCTTTATATCGAGTAATGTAAAAGCATTATCAGCAGAACCAACTAAACCAGCTTCTAGATATGTGCGTACCAGTAATATTTTTATATGAAAATTTGCAGGACTTGAAAAAAGGCCACGTTCAAGTAAGCTCATTGCCCTACAAAATCCATTATAGTTAAAATTATATATATCTTCTAATATATACAAGTTTCATTTGTATATAATTAATATATATACAAATTGATTTTGAAATAAATTATTGCTAATAGCAATAATTGCATTACCCATAAAGAAAAGAAGCTTCATTAGTTTCACACCATAATTGATGCAATAAATATGTGGCCAAAAGTACATAAGAATCTGTAGGACAAAAGTCAGTTGGTAATCTATCTGTCATTGGACATAATTCATTTCCTTTCTCATAAAGGTCACATAATCTCCTTATTAAATATTTTCTTTCATTTATATCTGCTAAAGGAGAATGGTGATAACCACACATACGCCGTAATTGTTCTAAATGTATATGTCGTTGCATTTGTTCTACAGTACTTGGATAACCATCTGGTGAAACTCCAACATTTTCAGTTATCTACAAAATGAAATTTATTCATTGTGTAGAATACATTTACCCATCAAATAGTAATGAAGTAATTAAAAAATTGATAATGAATTTGCCTTATTAAGTAATTGTTCTTTGCCAGCAGGTGTTAATAAATGTAAATATAATCGTAAATCTCCAGCTATGCAACTCTTTTCACCGAATTTTTCAAAATATTGGCACATGAAATCAACACAATCCATTAAATTATTATTATCACTTTCTCCAATGCGTTTTAACAATTCAAATCTTGCAAGATATGGTCCTCTCACTTTCCGTTCTGACGTGGATATGATTTCATTAAGAAAATTTAAGCATTCTGATGGTTCTTGAAATTTCAAAGCCGCAGAAAGATAATCTTGATAGTATTCCCAGTTGTCAACACTACTTAAGAAATAGTTGCATTTATATAATTTTTAGAACTATATTTTAATTTATCTTATTGTACATAAATTCATTAATACTTTATTGTAAGTAATCACAAATTCAGAATTGACAAAAAGAAAATAAAATATTACTTACTTTCCCTTAATAAGAAGTTTGTATGTATCTGCAGCTTCAGAAAATTGTTCCAATTTCATCAATAGTGCTGCTTTCCGTTGTGGAACAGATGATAGATGAGAAGCCAAAGGTCCAGACAAAACTTCCAACATTTTTTCACTCTTACCCTGAAGTTCTAATATCATTAAATAAAGTTGTACTTCTTGTTCAGCTTCTATTTTTCCTTGTTTAACGAACTTTAATACCTATTTATATAACATAACATTTCAAGAATTTTAATCTGATAATAATAATCAATATAAGCTATCATTAGAAATATTAAAGTATTTTAAGTTCACAAACCATTCTTTCTGCTAAAGGCAATATGACTTCGTTAGCTAACTTCTTATCTGCACGTACGGCTTGCATAACTATACTCATAACAGCCCAAAAATAATAAGGATTTTTCGGTTTTAATTTGTACAATGCAAATGCTGTTTGTTGTTGTTTTTTATAATCACCCAAGCGAACATAAGACATAAAAAGATGCGTAAGAAGTTCTTCATTATTTGGATCTGCCTTTGCTGCAGCCTCATATACTTCACTAACTTTATTAGCTGTAAATATCAAGATTATAAAAACAAAAATAAAGATTGTACTGTCAATCTTTTAATCTAAGTAATGTAAGTAAATAAAGAAATGTTTACTATTCTATAATAAGCATAAACTTACGTTGATTTATTTCTCTATAACAAATACTCATTGCTTGTAACGTTGAATCTTCGCATGGTATTTCAGAACGAACTTTATCCATTATAGCATGACATTCATTTTCTTTACCAAGGCGAAGTAAGGCCAATGCTTTGAGAACTCTAGCACATTGATTACCTGGCTGTTTTCTAAGTACTTTATCCGCCTCCTGAAGTGCTTGTTTATTATTTCCATTGTCTAAAGAATCTAAAATATAAAGAGACATGTATCATTTTGTCGGTTATTACATAACCTCTCTGCCGGTCAGAATAGAAAATTTTTATTTTTTAAAATATATTAATGTTTGACATACACTGTAAATTTATATACTGTAAATATATTTACCATAAATAGGTCGCAAGCGACGTTCATTAACCGTGCTATCCAGATGGGTCTTAGAGGCCATGATACTTTTTACGGAAATTTTAAATCAACAAACCGATGAATTCCTCCGTCTAACTGAAAGTTAAGGGCGACATCGACCTACTAAAAGATATATCGAAATAAATCTAAACGAATCTATATATTTTGTATCAAAAATTGTACGTTACATATTTCATATACATATATTTAGTTAATAATTCTAGTACTGACTTTCCATTTTTCAAATTTTATGAATACTCATTTTGGATTAAAAAATAACTTTGGATTAGTCCAATTCTGTGACACTGTTCTCAAACCAATAAGAAAATTAATACCGTAATATGTGATAATATGCAAGAAATACATCCAATCGCAGAAAGAACAGTTAAATCAAACTTTTCCATTGGTTCGATATCGCGTATATAAATATTTTTGATTAATTTAATAAATAAAATATAAATACAAAAGCTAAAATAGCAAAATGTTTTTTATATATATAATATTAAGTTTTCTTTTATTATTAACTGTAAGAAAAAAATATTATAGTTTTTAGTAATACAAAGTTAAATTGAAAAAGATTGGTATTATTGTTCAAAATGGCGTATATTCAGTTTAAATTATAGTGTCATATATTTAGAGAGAGAAACAGAGATAGAAATAGAGGTAGAGATAGAGAGAGAGAGAGAGAGAGAGAGAGAGAGAGAGAGAGAGAGAGAGAGAGAGAGAGAGAGAGAAAAAATGAGAAATTGATTTTATTAACAAATAGTATGTTTATATATAAATTTATTTTTAAAAAATTAATAATTATTAATTAATACATACTCTTATCATATTATTGATATTAATAATTTGTAGAAAGAAAATTAAATATATAGAATTTTTTATATATATGTGTATATTTACATATATATATATATATATATATATAGAGAGAGAGAGAGAGAGAGAGAGAATATATTATATATATATCATATTATATATATATATATATATAATATGAGAGAAAATATTAACGTTGAAAAATATGTAAATGATAACACTTTATATAAAAATTATGTAAATTGCATAAACAAGAAATTATGTAATATAATAGAATTATAAAGAATACAATATAAATACATGTAAAACTTATGTAGTTTTAAAGTGATCATTTGTAAGTGTAGTATAGATATGTCCTTCATTAATAAGAAATTCTAATATTGTATCTACTTGTGATTTTAAGTGATGTGGTGCACATTCTTTAATCATTGCTCTTCCAATGCCACAGTCGGTATCACATCCAGACAGAATAATGTTAAAAATTGCAGACTGGTTTGGATCCATATTATTGCCTGTATTACTTTCAACATTTCTTTCAGCTTTTGATACTTTTATATCTATTCCTGCCATTTCTTGAGTTTTTAATGTAATATATGTGACTTCAAGTAAGTGATTAGTTAATTCATTTAAATCTTCTATAGGTACAATACTGATAACCAAAATATGCTGTTTACCATTATAATAACGAATTGTGCCATATACACGAACATAAACATTGACTTCTAATAAAAATGGATTGACTAATTGTCTATTAGAATCTATCCAGCTTAATGCTGTCACGGTGCCTATATTATAAAAAGATATATATATATATACATTATATATAAACATATATAAACATATATTATATATGTTTATATATATAATATATTATATAAAAGGTGTCAAACAATAAATAAGAAATATTTTTGGTATGTCTTCAGTAAATCAAAGCAATAAAAAAAGTTCGTATAAACATATTTTTTATTTGCCTTTGTTTTCGAATTAAACGTTTCAAATGTTATATTTATGTTATAGCAATAATTCTTTCATTAAATGGATATAGTGTCAATCAATTCCTTCTAACTAACATTGTTGAAATTTTATGTGAAAGAATTAAACAATATCCTCTAAATCCAAACAATATCTGGATATACAAAGAGAATAAAATATCTGCAAGTTTATATACAGATCATTTTGAATATCTCTTATGAAAATAAGCAGATAAAGTTTGTTGAAAATCATATCTGCTATAATTCAAAAAGAAAATTAAATAGAACATATGTTTATATGAATTTCTTTTTATTGTTTAAATATGTTGGTCGCTGCTAAACTAATTTCCTCTTATTCTAGGACACCCTGTGTATAAACATATATTCAAATTATCAATTCATGTACCTAAATATGATTTACTTACCTGTTTCATCTTCAATATCATAAGTAACTTTTGTCGAATCTCGTTCAGCATGACGTACTATACCCACAATTGTGATGATAGATACAGGTAAACCCCACAATGATAATTCGTCTGACTGATCTTTCAAATTAATTATATGACATATCATCAATGGCACGATATTATTTATTTTTTTTGAACGATTTGTTTTTTTTTTAGTTTCATCGATATGAGATATACTTTCATCTAAAAAACTACGAACTTGTGACATTTTTATGAATTACAATCAATTACAATTAATTCGCAAAAAAACATACAAACAAATGAAAAGAAATTGATAACGCTTCCGTTCATCGGCCCGCGTTTTTAATAGTGAATTACTGTTTTGAAATTGAAGCACATAGTAACTTATGACAAATAAATAACGTAAAAAATTAAAGAACTAGAAATTCTTCGATATGACATCACGAAATTGTTTCGAAACATTAAATGATTTTAATAATACATCTCAAATAAATAACTTTATATATAATTAACTTTAATAATAAACTTTAGAGTATTTAACTTCTAAACAAAATTAAAATTTCAATAAAAGGTTATTTCATCAAAAGGTTACTACGATGTGGTAACATTTTAATACCAAAAAAATAATTAATACTTTTAAATTTGTTTTCTTTTTGAATATTTAATATTTTGTTATAAATAAGTGGGTCTCTGCATGCAGTAGCCTCCACGTGGTGAGACCTGGACAATCGATATTACTTTCGATGTAATATATATAATTTTTTACATTCTATATATCCCATTATAATTATTAATTGGCTGCATTTAATTTTTATTTTATTTAGTAATTATCGATTGACAATCATCGATCTGCATCGACCACCACCGTCATATAAAAGCATATAATAAATTCTTTTCAGATAATAATTTTAAGAAATATATTATTCGAATAAAATTTATATATCGCAAAAATCATTACTAATGGATATATTTTCATGTATCCATAGTCAACGACACTAGCGACAATTCTTGGATTTATCTAGTATATGTACGATAATCTGTTGGCTACTCTGGATTTTACTTTGAAATTTAATTAAATAAAAGAAGATTGTTTCTAGAAGTGTGCGATCATATCTTTGCCGATTTTATATGGAGTTCATCTATCAAAGATAGATAAATGAAACTAAGTGAAAAAAATAAGATATATAGTAAAGTTTCAAAAGGAAAAAATCTGTGTCGCCATGTGGTTAGAAGAATGTGATAGTTTTGCTGAATTATGTCGGGGCTATTTACCATATTATTTATTAATAGTCTTGCCAATTTTTATTATTATCTCTCCGGTTAATCCTGTAACAGCATCACATGAATTTCCAGTCTATCGTATGCATCAACATGATTTACACGGAATACCGCATGGTAATAATTATTGGTAACATATTTAAATGTCATATTATTACATCTTTAACCTTCACATAAAATATCTTTTTCTATTATGTATTATAATTACAAAAATAGAGATATCTATATTTTACATTATTACTGTTATATTCTTTTTGTCTTAGGTTCTTATGTTATTTTTTTGTAAGAAACATTGATATCGTTATTTATCATTGATAGTTTTTATTTATCAGTAAAAAATTAGCTAATTTAACTTAAACATCACCCTGAAAGAAGTTCATATTTCTATAATGAAAATAATTTTAATAATTTCTATATAGGCTGCAGGAGTGCTTCCATTTCATTGGAAGCAAGATCGCTTACTGGATGGAGTACTTCTAGACATTGTGTTATTACTAAAGCGTTAGATCTTACACCCAGTATGTTTCAATCTATTAAGATCAAAGCTGGAGCTTTAGTGATCATTTTACCTGAGAAATTAAATGAGTTAACATTGGATGAGAAAGAAGTTATTATCTATTTCTTATCACATTATTTTTAATTAAGTATATAACAATTGCTTTTTATATGAATATCTTTAACAAAGCAGCTTTTTGTTTATAGCATATTATGAATTTAGAAAAAGCTATGCTGTCTGACACAGAAACCCCAATTGCTGTTTATTTTGCAACTTGGCATCCAGATCTTCAAAGAATTTTAGATGATATTACAGATGGATCTATGACAGATGAAAAATCTCATTCTGCAGCAGAAGCTATATTTAATTCAATTTCTGCTAGTGGTTATCAAGTAGTTGTTGCATCTGGTCAACCTATGGTTAGAAATGATGCAAAAGTGGCTATATTACACGGAAAATTAACAGGAACTGGAGCAGAAGAAAAGTTACCTACTATAGCTATAGTTACACATTATGATAGTGCGAGCGTAGCACCTGTGAGTGAAATTGGTTTTATACAATTTTATTTATGCTATTTTAAAATCATCTAAAATCATTTTTTTTATTATTATAAAATAGCTATATAAGATTTACATTTTGTACTCATATATAGGAATTATCTTTTGGAGCAGACAGTAATGCATCTGGAGTGGCGATGTTATTAGAATTGGCTAGATTGTTCTCTGCGTTGTTCTCCGCTGGACGGTCGAGACCTCACTACAATCTTGTTTTCATTGCTACTGGAGCAGGAAAATTAAATTATCAAGGTAGTAAAAAGTGGTTGGAAGATCAATTGGATGGACTTGAAGGATCTGTTATTCAAGTAATATTTTTTTACGTCGACATATAGACGATTTATATTATTTTTTACAATATACACAACTAGAATGCAATTCATTTCAGGATGCAGCCTATGTTATATGTCTTGACACAGTTTCTGCAACAAATAATCTCTACGTGCATGTCTCGAAACCACCAAAAGAAAATTCCTCTGGAGGAATGTTTTATAAAGAATTGAAATCAGTAGCAGATTCTTTGAATACAGTACGTGTTGAAGGCGTACATAAAAAAATAAATCTTGCAGAAGAAACATTAGCTTGGGAACACGAAAGATTTAGCATTAGAAGATTGCCAGCAGCAACATTATCCACATTGAAAAGCCATGAAGATCCTGCCAGAAATACAATTTTAGATATAATGAAAGAAGGACAAATCGATAGATTGTATAAACACACTCAGGTGATTGCAGAGGCATTAGCAAGGCACATTTACAATCTAAGCTCTAACCATATATTTGCGGAATCTTTGGTATGCTCTTCTTCTATTTAACTAAATAAAATATATTTATTCATTGATAAAAGTAAATATTTATAAATTATGTATATATAAGAACTAGTATTCTTTCTATACAGGAGGTATCTAAAGAATCATTGTCTTTATGGTTTACGTACTTGGCATCTCAACCAAGAGCTGCTCCATTATTAGTTGATAAAAATAATATATTGATTGCTACGTTGAAAGAATCTATGTCACGATATCTTGGAGATGTTAAAATCACACTTCATGGTCCTGATAAACAAGACCCAGAGTTTATATTTTATGATGTTACTAAAGCAGTGCTAAATGTATACAGGTAAAAATTCATATTGTATATATACATATAAAAAGTGATCATTAGTTTTATTTAAATTATTCACTTCATTTCAGTGTAAAACCAGCTGTTTTTGATCTTTTCCTTACTGTTGCCATTGTCATGTATCTAGGATTGTTATATGTGATTGTACACAACTTTCCACGTGCTTATTTCCTAGCAATTAGACTTTCTACAAAAGGCAAGTCATCTTAAGCTTGATCATGATTCTAGAATGCCAAAGCAATAGTCACGAACATTTATTTATAGAAAAAGTTCATCGTTAGCAATGTTCTCCAAAAATGAGATACATGTACTTTTGATAAAATAGCTTGAAAAATTATTGAATAAAATTAAGGTGGAACGCATAGAAGAGATATACAATTTTATCATCTGTATGATACTGTGCATTTATGAGATTCATAATTTTGGTTTACTTAATTTTCTTTTGGCAATTCAGATACTTACATAAACTTGGAGAGAAAAAAGGAAAAAGGGCAGAGATTTTGTGTTGTATATACGTGTGTGTTACTTATTAAAATTAAATGAAATAAATTATGAAGTCTGCTACAATGAGAGCATATAAAAAGAATATAATTAACTCAATTATATATCCTAGAATACTATTCCTCAAAATTAGAGGAATATTATAATAATGGAATAAAAAGAAAGGAGATTATCGTGATCGTCGTGTTCCTTGTTAATAATTTTTGTTTAAATATGTATCTCCACAATTTATATACAGTATAATACCAAACAGTTTCCTCAGCAGTCCCAATTGAATTTGGAAAGTCAACGTTCACGATGTTGTTTTAATTTTGTTTTGCATGTACATAAAAAGGAATATGGATCATTAAAGTTTATGGAATGTTCATTAGACTTTATTAATAGATGGAAAATCATTAAAACAAATAGTGCAATATGTAATTGATAGCTACTTTATATTATATGAAAGTATAAATAAGAAGAGTAAATTTATTATTGATCTATTGTTTCAATTAAAGGCACAAGAGGAAACATTCAGAATATTAGCTTTAAAAAAAGACCTGCTATCAGATTACCTTACTATCTGAAACTTTTACTAAGAGTTTATTTGTATAATTATTGCAATTTAAAACTTGTAAAACTTGCAAATTACTAAAGATACATGCATATTAATTCTGTTTCAAATATATGATAGCTGTATGTTTGCATCAAATTTATGGATATCTATCAATGATTGGATTATTTTTAAACCTTTGACTATAATAGAAGATTGCTACATAATGATAAAATTAATTTAACTGAAATATCACTGCGATACTATTTGTATATTCATGAGATGTACTCTTATACACAATAATTTTCAATCATCAGTTCCATGATTTTTGCAATGTAAAGTAAATGTTATGCATATATAAAGTAAATGTTAACAAGCACATTTTTTATTAAAGCATTAAAATAATGATTAAAATTAGTGCTTATGTAAAAACAGATAATAATATTGCATATGAACAGAAATAATTATTAAAATAATAAAATTACAAATGTACCGATTTAAAGCAAATAATCTATGATACTAAGTTAATTCTATTTCGAGCAATATGAACTTTCCAAATCAAAGAAAAAAATTATAATGAATATTGTAGAAGAGCATGCGCGCTAATGAATCCGAGTGATATCTCAAATAGAAATTACTTTAAATACCTTACAGAAATCACTTTTGTTATCCTCATATGTCAACGAAATCTGATAATCTTGCACAGATTCCACTAAATGCAGATCCAAATCCCATCATATGTGATCTAGGAGATTTCCATGAACCCTATGAGATGCGAAGACCACTATACTGAGACACTTTCAATTGATAACATTTGATATCCAAATCCATCCTTCATACTGACAGTGTTCATATAATAAATCCAAGTCATCCTCTCTTAATAAAATCCGTCCAATATTTTCACTTAAATTATCCAATTCCAAAAATCCTCCACGTATACTAATTTATCCTGCCAGTAATCCTAATGCCAAGTCCTGTCCTTGAGCCATGTTTGTTGTAAAATATAATTTCAGGTTATTGAGTTTCTCTAAATCTATGGATGCAGTCCATGTCAAGAAGAAAAATTGTCTTTTCAAATCCTCTTCATACACTAAGTTTCGAAGATGCTTATTATGTTGGAATTAAATATGTTGCACAGATAAAAAAAGTTTCACTTAGTTTCAATTAATAAGAGATGCTGATATAAATCATGAGAATAGAAAAAATTGCTGATAGAAATAAGTAAAACGAAATTAACATCATACGCAGTAATTTATCAGAGCAACTATTTCTCGTAAATGTTTCTTGTGTAAACGCGGAAAGACTGTCCCAATCAAATATACCTATACTGTTATATATGTACAAAACATCCTACATACACCTATACTTAAAGTTTTTCGATCCAAGTAATATTTTTCATTTCTTTGAATACTTAAGAATATCTGGCAAAATACGTGATTTATTATCACGAAGAAAAAAGAAAACTATTTCATTATTCCGGCAGCTAACATCTCGATCGAAAAATACTTTGATATGACGTTATGATTATATCCTGTTAATAAATTTGTTTAAAGCAAAAAAGATAAGTTGACATTCCATTACCAGTTTGACCGTTCACAAAATAATGAATAAATTTAAAAAAGCAGTATTGCCAGCAAGAACTTGATGAATAACATAACACTCAATCTAAGAAAACTTGTAAGCACATGAATGTTGAAACTGCTGAAAGTTCACATTATTTTTTCCTTTTCATTCACCGACATAACAGCACTTTTAGGCACAAGCAAACAATTTAAATATAATTCGAAACAAAAAAATATGGACGATCGATTTGACTCCTTGTAATGGATTTGCCAACGTTTCCTGATGAAAATCCAGCTAAATGTGAATCCTCGAATGAAATGCACTGCACCCTTAATTCATTCCTTTCCTGATCCTCAAATTCCTCTTGAAAGTATCCTTAATGTCTCATTACTTTGATTCTCATTTAATCCTTTTATAACTTATGCTCCACACAAAATCCATCCAAAACGCATTCCATTTTATCCCACCGTCAAGCACGAACGTGTATTATATCCATCCAAGAAGTAAGATCGTGTCGATTTGAGTTTTTCATTCATTGTGTTACAATCCAATCCAATATACAAAAGAAGAAAAAATACATTAGTCTCTTAGACAAGAATAGTTAAAGATAAACATAAATATTATAAATGCAAACATAATCCTTGTGATCTAAAGTAGTTCATTTAATGAAAACATCTATATAATACCTATGTAACAATTTCAACTGATGACAAGAAATGTACATAAAATAGAAATTTAAATGTATTTTACAAGTCTAAGAAAAAGTAAGATCACAGGATTAATTTGCAATATATTTTGATATTAAAGAAAAGAATCAATTATTTTCCACTTGTATGTTAAACATATTGGACAAAAGGCAATTTTAAAAAATGTGTAATTCTAAGCATTACGCGCGTCATTGAAAGAACATTTTAAACAGTGTTAAAAAAGTATATAAGCACAGAGATTCATAAAAAACTTGAGCAATTAGATAATTTATCCAATATGAATGTATTTCTTAGGATAATGTGGATTTGATTTAGATTTATGTTAATTTTGAAAATTAAATACGCTACTGCATACATATATGCACATCTACAATAGCATATATGAAAAAAAATCAACAATAAGAAAATGAGAGAAAGTAAAGATGGCTAAACAGAACATTAAGGATGTTGCTACGAGATATTACAATATCATATTCTTAGCCAAAGATCACTTTCTCTCTCACCAGTAAGAACATAGAAATGCAGGTGGATAAAATGCTTTAGCTGGATATTATATGTGCGTATGTCAGGACAATTGAAATCTTTGTAACAAAACTTAAGAAAATTTTTACTTTAAGTTTTACAAGTCGCAATCCTAATATGGTAAAATAAATTTACCATTATCTACCATCAACAATCACTTAATTCATCATATTCATAGACATTTATAAGATACTCTTTTATGCCAGATCTTAACAGAAATTTTGTATTTTTTAAATTAGATATCCGTAGGCATACATGCACCACTGTCCAGTTTGTACATTTCATTTACTCATTAGAATATTTATATACAATTAAGAATTGTAATTATACTACATCAAATATAAAAGTATCTAGATTTTATGATAATTTAAATAGGAATAAACAGTGAAAATATAATCTCTACAGTTTTAACATATTTGCCTACCCATAATTATATTAGTGTTATATATCAAATTTAGGTGGATTATAATAATAAACAAGGAGATTTGAAATATTTGAAAAAGCAATGTGTAAAACTACTTCAATATTTCCATATTGAGTATAATATAAATAATATCAATTAATTGCAATTTTTTAATCATTTCTATATATCGTGAATATTATTTTTTTTTTTTTTAACGAACTAGAAATAAGTTGAAGAATATTATAATCATCACAAATGTATTTTATATTTAAAAAATCCATATCATGCAAAATTTATCAGTATCTTTCTTAAAAAAAAAAAAAGATACATGGTTGTAAAGCAAATATAGATTTATATATGTGGCAATTAGGCAGTTAGAAAAAAATGTCTAATGTGTATATAGATTATGTATATGTATGCATATATCAAATTTGCTGAAAGAAAACACTCTCACAAACTTTTATGGTAACATTATTTGGTTCTATAGTGGATGAAAACAGATTATGGGATACATTAAATAAACAGTAATTATGGCATGCAACAGTTTTGTATGCAATAATTTACAACCGAGATATCTTAGTACCTTCAGTGAAATTTAATATAAAATATTAGTACTGAAAAGTTGAAACAAAATTTAAACTAATGGCATAATTATAGAAAAGCCATAAAATCTATGAAACTAATACATAAGCTAATCAAAAGACACAATTTATGTAATTTATTAAGATCCACATATGGCAAACACATAATTGAATAAATGATACATATTTTAATCGAAGTACAGAATGTTTTTATCAAAATTATGCTTCTAATACTGCAGTTATTTATCTCAACTGAATGACTTTTTATTCATTGTTATTATTAAACAGACATAGAAATGAAAAAATACTTCAATTTATCTACTTCAATCTACAGAAATGGTTTCATTTAAGTGATTTAATTTTAGAAATTATTTTTCTTATCTCATATATAGAACTATAATTTTGCCATAAGTTCAAGTATAAAGCATACTAAGATTAAAAGTAAAAAAATATTAAATCTTAATAGGTTAGACAAATTTCTGTGTAATAAGTTTATTTTTAAGAATGTCGATAAATAAATATGAATGATAAAAAAATCACACACTGGATTTGGTACTGTAATATGCCTACCGGATTCCACAGTAACTAGTGTGTCATTAAGAAATATACTGCAGATCATTGAGTATGAATAATTACACTGGTTGTTTGGAAGCATCAAACATTCTGTTGCAGATATCATTAATCAATGCATGATCATTGAAGGTGGATCGCCAATTTCTTTACTAATGGTACTTTAAAATTGTTACATGCTTTATATGTAATTATGAAGAGAACCAGTTTGAAAATATAAAGGAATGTATTTTATAATGTACAAGTGACCTAACTGGTATAGCTTTGCATAATTCTTGATTAATAGTCGATTGTGAGCACAATTCCTTTTCACTGTTATTATGAAACTTGCTATTGAAACTTATATTTTATGATTATTTGAGATATCATATTATTGCTGATTCAACTATCAACAGTTGCCAAATTAAAAAAAGAAAAGTTGACAATTTGTTTATGCTTACGTTTTCCATACAATAGGAATGTGCCCAATCCATATTTCAAATAGAATATTAAATATTCTAGCAATGTCAGAAAAGCTATCTTCATTATTCTTAAGAAGTCTAATCGTATTGAAGTTTCCATAATCAAATTTTAAATCAGCAATAATAAAACATGGTAAAGCAAATATCAATGAACATTTACTTATATTACCATGTGAAACGTATACGTACACACTAGTCGTACGATCGAGATTTGGAGTGGGATCTTGAGCGCGAGTAATTACGCCGTAACGGTGAATACGTTGGAGAACCACGACGTCGTGGACTGTAGCTACGCGAACGGCTTCTACCCCTTTCTCTATCCTCACTACGTCCTCTGTCACCACTGTTGTGATCTTCCTTTACACGTATGTATGCTACTTCTCCCTATAGAATTCAAATATAAAAAGAAACAACATAAATAAGGATCTATAAATCAATTTTGTATTAAAGAAATTGATTTATGTTATGAATATATAAGATTTATATACCTCATGAGACCTAAATCTTGAATCGTCCAGTTTCTTTACAGCATACTTCATATCCTCATAACGTAAAAATTCAACAACTCCAGTACCGTCCTTATAAACATCTGCAAAGCACACATCACCGGCTTCTCGCATATGATCCTTGAGATCTTGCCAACTTCCAGATGGTGGTAAACCAGTAACAAGAACTCTATATTGAGATCTTCTAGCTGGAGGACCACGTCCACGAGAATTACTCATTTCACCACGACCACCTCTACCAGTATCCCCTGCTCCACGACCTCCACGAAAATTATTACTAGGTCCACCACCTCTTGGAAATTCAACTCTCAATCTGTAACCATCATAATCGTAGCCATCTCTGGCATGTACGGCATCTTCTGCATCTCTACAAAAAGAACATAAGTTTTATAATGAAAAATATGTTCAAGATTTTATAAATTTAATGTAGTAAGATTTGGGAAAAAATTTCGATAATTATATATTAAAAAATAATGTTTAATATAATTATAAAAAATAATAGCTATTTATTATATTTACGTATCAAAAAAATTGGATATATAAATAATAGAGAATAGAAATTAATCGATCAACTTGAATAAATTTGTAGATCTTACCTTGGATCATCAAATTCAACAAAAGCAAATGGTGGACCTCTGCGATTTTTCAAGTCAACAAATGTAACTTTACCAAACTTGTAAAAGAGATCTTGAATATCTTTTGTTCTTATATCCGGTGGCAAATTGCCCACATAAATTCTACACTCATTTCTACCTCCGTGAGACATGTTTTTTTAATGGTCACTATCTTATTAAAAAGCTAAACGTTGCTGAATAATATAATTTCCGCGATATCTCGATACTCTTCGCTGTTGAAATAAACAAAATGGAGGTACCGGCTGAAGAAGATGATGGAAAATTCTTCGAGAAAAGCACAGAATAAGATATTGGTTAGTAAAAAGTTGCTTTTATCATTGGTTATAGATCAAGTAAAGAGAAACAGGATTTCGAGCTGAAAGTCATGATAATCAAAGCACTATCTAGTAGTAAATTTCGGAAGTTTTTCAAATTTAAGTGGCACCAAATTGGAGTTGATTAACTGACTGTAAAATTATCAACATATTTTATTAAAATCTGATTGGTTACGATACTTCAGTTCACAAATATATTCTTTCATTGGTGATGGATTTTAAGTCGATGTGGTAAAAATCACTAGCGCAAAGCGAAAACGACATCTAGCTCAAAGACTTTATTTTTGGTTTTTTTTTCCCGTTACTCATCTTTTGTTTCGTTCTTCTTCTATTTATATCTTTTTCAGACTAGCTCATCTAAGATTTGTATAATATTCCTTATTATATTATACTTATATATTTAATAAATTATATTTTCATTAAAACATCTTATGTAATTTACTAACAGTTACAACTGTATCGATTTGCTTACCAATCAGTTTCGATCATGGAAAACCTAAAATATGTAGTTACATTCGAACGAAGCTTTTAACTGTTTGTCCATGCGAGATGGTGGTGACGAAGATAAAGCATTTTGTAAATTCTATAGAACATCTAATCATAGTATCCCATTAATGTTGTGACGTGTTATATTTTTTTAACTAAATCTTAAAGAATTGATTGTACAGATTAATAGAGAACAGCGGACACCTTAGGTAATTCGATGCTGAATATATTATATGTTGAAGTCGTGCGACTATTGCTGAATCTTATAAGATGACGAGGTTAGGTACATACCTCTTCGTTTATTTTCCCTTTGGTTAATAGGACATAAGAGTCGTAAAGTTTAAAACATGCCGCTCATGATAAATTGGAAGCTTTTTTATAATATCTATAATTAATCATGGAGTTTTTCGTTTTATAATATAATTGAATAAATATAGGGGTATTCTAGAGATAATTTTTCAACACTCACCACGGCATATCTACAACCTTGAGTTTCTATTGACATTTTAATTACACGTCGATTTATAATCTTGCTTAAGTCATCGACGTATTTTTTTGCTGATGAAAAATCAAGATAATCGGTTTATATTTGTATTTAAATAATTTTGATATATTTAAGATTGTATAATGGTATTTTATATAGTTATTTTAGCATAAATGACTAATAGATATCAGCATTAATCGTTTTTGAATATATGCAGCAACTGTTGTGTAGTCAACAATTTTTTCATAAATTGAAGCTAGAGTATAATAGAAGTTAAATTTATACTTTAGAAAAGTAAAATGATGCAAGATGAGGATCTCGGTGGTCCAGCCAGACGGAATGTTTTTGTCCAAACAATATCAAGAATATCACAGGTTAGTAATATTTTTTTTATTAGTAATTATTTTGTATAAGATATATAGTTTCATATGAAGATAAGGCATTACATAATTATCAAAATTTTTTGTGTAATATTTTATATATTAATATCTTATAAAATAAATCAAAATAAAACATGTTACTTTATAGGTTCATCAACGATGTTTAGATTTGTGGACTCCACATGTAACATCAAGATGGATATTTGCTTTTTTGCTATTAACTGTTTTTGTTCTACGCATATTCCTTTCTCAGGTAAATACATATTTTGTAACACATAATAATGAGATGAGTTTATAATATTTATGTGTTCTTTTAGGGATGGTATATTGTAACATATGCATTAGGAATTTATCATTTGAATTTATTCATAGCATTCCTTACACCGAAGATCGATCCTGCAATGGATTTGGATGGTATATTCTTTAATCGATTTATTCTAATAATATTGTATTTAATGTTATCCTAGATATAACTTTTTTTAATAACATTTCTACAGATATTGATGGACCAGAGTTACCTACAAGAGCCAATGAAGAATTTAGGCCATTTATAAGAAGATTGCCTGAATTTAAATTTTGGTACTCTGTGACAAAATCTACAGTTATTGCTATGATATGTACTTTCTTTGATTTCTTTAATATACCAGTATTTTGGCCGATATTAGTTATGTATTTCATAACATTGCTCTGTATTACAATGAAACGTCAAATTAAGGTAAGATTTTATGATCTTTATTTTTATAAATCTATAGAAAAATAAGATAAGAAAAAAATTGAAATAGTTTCCTATTTAGTTGTAATTAATGGAAACTAGTATAAAAATAAACTTAGTTCATGAATATAAATTATTTTCAGCATATGATCAAGTACAGATATTTGCCTTTTACTCATGGAAAACCAAAGTATCAAAATCATGAGAATACTTCAAGGTTAATACCACCAAACTGAATAGATAAAAAAGTGCTTGTTCAAGCAAGCATATAAGTGTAGATTTCAACTTTCCAAATATCGGATGGAAAAAGAAGTGAAATTCGACTATGGAACATTTTTTTTCTATGACGCTACGTATGAATAAGTTCGTTTCTTTCTACAAGGAAAGAATTATTCTGCACAAGCGTTATTCCAAAATATCATGTTATACGATATATAAATTGAATCACATCATAATATATGTGTATCATAAAACTTGTACAAAGTATTGTTAGGTCTTACATAAATGTGGACACAGTAACAATATGAACAATATACAACTATTAATGTAATATTAAATTATCACTGAATGTAAAAATTAATTCATATTCATAGAATTTGCAATATAGTCTCAGATCCGTTTCTTAATTTTATAATATTTTTTTTATCCTTTTTTGTACATATATGAATACATTGCGCATCAAATGTATCTTTCCTTATTCAAATCCAGGTAAATCATTTTTATTTTATATATATATATATATATTTCACACAGTAACTTTTATTTATTATTAGACTTCTACATGCGGGATCAGCAATGTTGTCGAATAAAATAATGGATCGTATATGCAATCGCTTCATATATTGCGCTGACGTAAGGATTATTTGTACATATAAGATTGAAAAGTTCTTTTAATAATGGTCACATTAATAGACTAATGAATGAGAAATTAAAAATTCAATTTTACATTCGGTAAAATTTCAATTTTATCATAATTTTTTAATGTAATCACGAAAATATATATAGTACTATTGATATTAAGCTATCTAAAATTGACAAAAATAATGAAAAGAAGAAATATTGTTAAGATTAAGTTCACATATGACTTTTAATAAGCTTGCACGAAATTATTAAATTAAATTATTTCATTAAAGATTGCCATACAAAAAGTGAAATTTTCGTTATTATAAAAACATTTTGTTATTTATTTTTTTTTTCTAAATTACGATCTTTGATCCTTATTTATGATTTTATAAATATTTTAATTTGAGTTTGTTCAAAAAAAATATCTCGTGTTTTCATCAGCATCCTAAAACAAATATACAAGGACAAGTCTATAGATAAAAGTTTTCATAAGTTTTTTAATTGCTATATAGACTACAGGATTTTTAGGGAATACGTAAACATCGAGTGGAGAAAGGGTGATTAAAGCAACGCAATAAGGGAGCCTTCTAAGCGAAAACTACAAATATAGGTCATGCATGATTTCTTCTTTTTTTGTTTTAGTTTATAATATTTGATACCATGATGCATAAGGGAGGGAGGTATAAAATTCCATCAAGTTCGATGATTAGATGATTTAAAATGTGTTTTAAATCAGTAAGGCTAACCATGATTCATATTTTCAGAATTTGTAATTATTGTTGTCACCTGAGGTTTAAGGGATTTCAAAAAAACGTGACGTCCAATAACAATGTTATTAAGTAGGTTGGTTTTTTCGGTCAAAACTAATATATAATAATTTAAAACAGTTTCAACACATGCATTTATTACTCATTATTTTGATATTATGAATGTTTACGATTTAATAATTCTTTTTCAGATTTAATTTTTTGTGGAGTCATTCACTACCAAACGATTAAAAATGAGTTGCTCCAAAAATAAATGGAGACAATTTTATTATTAATCTATTACTGAAGTAGTTTTAATAAAAATGTATTTGTGTATGCTGCTTTTAGTTTTCGTTTAAAATAATAATAGAGATTAGTAGTGATTTTATTTTTGTAGAAAATCTCAACTAATAAAAAAGTTAAATAACGAAATAGAAGAGAAAAGTGATGATTTGATGATGATTATATTAGAAAATATAAATATAAGAATGGCAGGAAAGGCAACATTGAATCAGAAGAGGAGAGGATAGAAAAAATGGAATGAAATTGAAAAAATAAAATATTTAATAAGGAAGCAGAAAGACTAATACAGTTATAAGATGGAGGATGGCACAGATTTGAATGGAAACATGGACAGAGATAAAAGAGAAGAATATAAGTTCATAAGAAAGCAAAGTGTCAAAATAATAGTCCAACACCTTTTTCAATTTACATTAATGAGTTGTAAAAAAAATTATCTAGAGGAAGAACAGAGGAAATAGAAATAGGAAAGGATACATTATAGATTTTAACATATTCTAATGATTTAGTGCTATTGGCAAACGATAGAGAAAATATGAAGGATCTCCCAGTAGTCTGCTACTTTGTTGTGGAGCTTATTGCATCCTTCAATGATACATAAGGCTATGCTGAATGAGTACTATTGTATCGAACAGGCTTGAGGTGAGGAATCTAACTAAATGCAGACAGTTGGCTACTTAATAGAACTTGAGAACTATTTTTTAAAAGATAGTATAAATATGGAAAGTTAATTAATGTACAAAGACATTTTGTAAAATCTACAAACATGTATACTAATAAAATTTGTCAAAATAAAAATAGGCTATAATAGGGCAGCGTGTTGAATTACAAAAGGATTAAACATTTTATTTAATGGAATAACAATTAAAGTCAAAAAATTTCAATTTAATGGAAAAAGATGAGACAAATATTCAATAAGATACTTTTCATTTATCATTTTGACAGATATTCTACTATTTATGTTGATTTTAAGAATGTAAGAGTAAATACAAATTATGCAATTTTGTATTTACTTAGAATTGGATCACAATTTAAAAGTTTAAATACATGATCAGTTGAAAAATTATATTTTGAATCATGTTTACCCAAATATATTTATATTGTCTTTTGGGATACCGAATTCAAAAAAAAATTTCCGACCCGACACAAGCCCGTAATTTCGGATATCTGCACATTCCTAATAACTACTATTGAATATTAAGTGACAGAGCTATTTAAAAAAAAAAGAAAATTATGTGAAATACATATGGATGAACATACAAAATTATCTTTTCAAATTTTTAAAAATGTTATTTTTCTTATAAAAATTATATTTAAAAACAAGTAATTTTCAAAAGTAATTATTATGTAAATAAACGTCCGTTTTAAAAATTTCAGGATAATCTTGTGTAAAAAATCTTCATTTTTTGAATGAGCTTTTGGTTACCGAAATTGGACAAAAATTACAATTATTAGAATTCATGGCATAAACCCTGCTTTTGATCATTTTTCTTCAATTTATGAAAATGCAGTGGCGTTATTTCATCTTCCTATCAAATAGTTGACATTCTTTTTCCCATTACGCATCTACATAGCATGAAAATCAGTTGTTTTATAAGTATGCAAGTAATCGTTTCTTTGAAAGAAAGAAACATGAAAGAAAAAAGTCGACATGGTTATACATTGTCTGACGTCTCATTGTTAGTTCATTTCTTTACTTCACGTGCGCTAACAGAATGAGAGGCACACATCTATGCAAGCATACATATTGATACGATGGATTATGTAAGGGATAAAGTTACCTAGCGCGGTTTAGTTCATTTTGTTCCATAGCTGTCGCTGAAGTCACACACGTCTGAATATTGGGTAAACCCTTATTGCTATTTATTACTCCTGGTTTTATAATGATTTACGCCAATAATGAATTTATGTGTAATTTTTGACCAATTGTTTTGAATAAATTCTCATTTTAAAGATAAATATTTAAACGAAGAGATGACTTTTTTTAATTCTTGAAAAAAGTTTATTTTATTAAAAAAGAAAAGAAAAATGTTATTTCTTCGAGAATGTTTATGCATAGAAATAACAATTTTTCAGTAAATATTGAAGTTCTATCCTTTCATACAATTAAATTTAAATAATTTATATTTTTGATTACTTTATATTTATTTATATAATATCTAATGTATATGAAATATAATAAACTAATATTTGAACAATAATCTATTTGTTTAAACATAACTTTTCATACACATTAAATATATATAAAATAATTTTAATTTAATATTTCAATACATTTAAATATCAAGCTTAAGATCATTGCCTATATATAATAGCAATAAAAATGAAGAATCAAATGACTTTATCACATTATTTTTCTTTTATATTTCGACGAGTTAATATCGAAATTCTCTCTTTCCATACGGTTATCATTAAATGATTTATAATTTCAATTATTTTATATTTATTTAAACAACGTATAAAGTATATGGATAATCAATTAATATTTATTGACACAATATTGATATAATATACATGCTATCGTGAAATAGAACCGGACGTGATAAGAACTCATTTCTTGTATTCGTAAGCGTTTCTTATTATCTCGCGGCAGAATGTCCATTGTACAATCAGCAAGAAGACTCATACGTAATATATTGCATTAAGTATGTCTTCAATAATTTCAACAATTTTTTATTATAATAATAATACTATCATTTTTATTTTTTTTTCTTTCAGAATATCATTGCAACCGCAATCTGGAAAGATCCGACTCGGGACGAGTTATTGGTTGCAATTAATTTGTAAAAGAGCATTGAGTGACCACAAATACTTTTTTTCTTCGGACATTTATTCGTGAGTGATTCCTTATTTTCTAATTTATAATATGTGCATTTATTTATTAGATCAAGATAAAGTTTTCTTATTTCATACGCATTTATAATTATTTGCATTTTAAATATTTTAATGCATTTTTTAAATATTTTTTTTGTGCGAAATTAATGAAATATTCGATTTGCTAATTGTTCTAATACATAAAAATATAGTAACGTGTGATATAAAAAACATGCATTGCATCGCATCATAATTCGTAGCAAACTAATTGTACATGGATACATCGATATCCATAGATAGTTTTTGGATTACAAGAGAAACTAAATATTATTGCATTATTTATTTCAATCTGATTTTATTTTCCAATATAAAAAGTTCAAAGGTTAATGTTAGTATGCTGTAGGTCATCGATTACAATTATTATTTGCTGGGACATTTGAGTAAATATGCTCGTGTATATGTGCACGGTCGATAGATTCTAATTATAAATCCGTTGATTGTCCTGAAGCTAGGATAGTTAACGTGAAACGAAATGAATTTTTCAATTGTCAGAAAAAAAATCATAACAGAAAACGAAATTGTTTCAAAGATAAAACTGAAAGTAACAATGAAAATATTTCAAAGGAAAAATTGAAAGAAAAGAAAAAATATTTGACATAGAGAAAACTAAAAGAAATATGAAATATAAATTTTATCAAAATATAAAAATTAAATGATATATAATAAACAGAAGAATAAATGTGTAAAAATGTTCGTACGTCGTTTAAAATGTTTTATTATTATAATCTAGGATATTACAATTATGTGGCATTAGAAATGGAATCGATATTTTATATAGTCAATAATTGATCTTTCGGCAAAGAGATATTACTCGAACAAAAAGCAATAATTATTTTTTATGTAAAAAGATTAGATTTTTTCTTTTCAAGGATGTTAGGATTGCCGCTTTTCTTTTATATTTTAAAATCAAGGACGGTTCTAATTTTTTGCCATTAACTGTTATAATGTGCCAAATTTTGTTATTATACTTTTAGAATGATGAACATTTTTAATCAGAAGAGATTATTATACCGAAGATACACCCACAAACAGTGGCTTAAGAGTTGAACTATAGACTATTGAGTTATTTTTGAAGATTCCTCAGGATGTTCGAATCTTTCGAGAATGGCTCTTAGTCATATATATTTTATCATGTTATTACTCAAAATACTCTAACGATGATGGGTGTAGAGGTAGAATCGAAAAACTGAAATGATATAACATTCCGTCTTCGGTCGCATATTGCTTCGCGTACGCGAATATAATTATTTTATATTTTATGCATTTTTATTGTTAAAGTCGAGTCATAAATTATTAATTTCTTTTGTTTTCTAAAGTTCCATACTGTTCTCATACAATCAAATTCTATATTATAACTATGAGACGTAAATGTTTATTATTAAAATTAAATTTTATACATTTTTCACTCTTTTATATTTTTCTTTTTTATAGTTGAATTAAATTCATATTTTTATCTTTCATAGATAGTATGTTTCTTATTTCTATAAAAGTGAGTTCTAGTAAAGTCATAGTCACGAAACATATGATATGGCAATTATGGAAACTACTGAAACTGCACTGAATACAAAGCTGAAATAAACACAATAGGATGCATGCGAACTTCTCCCTTTGCCATATGGAAGAAAAATATATTTGTTTAGATTAAGATTGAAAATTTTTTATTTTCTTGTCTTTTTTAAAGTTAAGTTGAGTTAAATTAAATTAAATTCAAAATTTTATCTTTCATAAAAAGATAAAAAAAAAAAGAAATATACTTACATATTTCTTTTTTTTCTATAAAGTTAAGTTATATTACAGTTATTAAATTATGGTTTTTTAAAATCACAAAACGAATAGTAATTGTGATAAACACTGAAATTTCACTGGCTAAAGATGCACATGAAGATGTAATAAGCATACTTAAATATATGCTATATTTTTCACTTATGCCGCGTTATGGGAAGCGATTAAGGATAAAGAATTTTTCATTTTGGATATAACTAATTCAATATATATTTAATTTATATTAATATAATAAGTAATATATATTTTTATTTTTATAAAATCAAGTATTATATAAATTATTTTAAAGTAACTTCATTCAACGATACGTTGTGTCTGGCAATTTAATTAATACTAAATTAATTCTTAATAATATTAATATTTAAAAAATAAGAAATAAGAACTAAATATTTCAATATTAGTTTAAAATCCATGAAAAAAGGTTTAATTCAAAAATTTTTGGAGTTAAAAATATCTATTCAATTCACAAGTTAAAATTGCATTTTGTTAAATGTTTAAAGACGACGTTGCATGAAATGAACCTCTGAAGAAAAAAATGGAGTTACGAGAAGCTTTCAAAAATTTTGAATGATTATAAGCTTAGCGAAATCAATAAATCATAAACCATCAAATCCACAATATACCGATAAAAGAATACAAGTTTTAAATCGATGCTAAAAAAAGATATAACATCAAGATATACCATACGGAGAACGGATAAAAGCTAATGTTAGTTTGAAAGATTTAAAATGTTTACAGATATGAATCTACATACTTTTAATACAATTAAATTTTAAGTCATAATTTATATTTACGTCTATTTTATGAAATCAATCACAAAGTTTATAGTTTCCAGAAAATAAATTCTATTCTTACAGTCGTGAGTACAGTCAATACTTCTTATCACTAAATAATTTGTAATTAAACTTACCGAGATCGTTATTTTCACGTAACGTCAAGTATAATTGTGCTCCAGTGATCTTGTAATACTATAATAAAAGATCTGATAAAACAGATGCTTATGAATAAAATATACACTTTGGTAAAATTTTGAAAGGTCAGGTACAGATTTTTAAGCTCCTCGTTATACAATTTTCAATAAATTTTCTTTTTTCTTTTCGGATTAGGAATACTTTGTTCATAAAATAGTTAATAATTATATAATATTCTGTAATACAATTACATATTTATGACGTAATTTTATCTATGGTAGCATTTGCAGGTGTATTTGGTAGATTTACTCTCCGCGTATTACCTTAATATTTGCCAGAGTTATTGCCGCGTATATCCTTAAAATAATATTCAGTCAAGTTATTGATAATAAATGTTTAATTTACTTTTGAAAGGTGAGAATTAAAAAATCAAGAATGAATATCCCATTCGTATAACCTAATGTTACATATTCTTATACTATTTTATATGCAACATTTCATTTAAACAATTGAATATAATACTATACAGAGATGATTTTAGTCGTATTATGCTAATATAAGTCAGGGAGTGTGCATAGAATATTATTATATATATGTGAACATGCATATATCCAAGGAATATAAATATATGATATGGATTTATATAACTAAGAATTAATTTCTATATATATCCCTATATCCATAGTCTATACATATTCATATAAATTCTTTAATCTCATTTTTCAAGTTTTCATGTTTTTAAATATTAAAAAAAAAAAAAAAGATTTATTATTGCTAAGTAACGATAAAAGTGAAAAAATAAAGGACCCTTATAATCTTATTAAAAATAATAATATAATATTTATTACCTCATATAGCAGTGTTGAATCAATTTAATTTTTACTAATATCTACTATATATCATAATTTAGCTGATAGAAAAATTGGAGATATCTTTTAAGCGAAAAAAGATGAGTTAAAAATTTAGAAGCAATCGAGAACATATACAATGTGTATGTGTCTATATATATACACATACACATATATCATTATTTTAACGTCATAATTAATAATATGACGACACTTATGAAAAGATATTTCTACGATGAGTCTCTTCGCGCTTAATGATCTTACCAGTTTCTCTTCATATTGACATTCGCTTCGTGTAAAACTTTATTCATTTGAGTCTTCTGAAATGGCTTTCTTAGATTTGTCCAGAAACGTTGTTGTTGAATTCGGACCTATCACCGTTGTGGTCGTCGTTTCACTTACCGTAGATTCCCTTTTACGATATGGATTTGAAGGTTGGCCGTATAGCCTGAAGATTATTGAGAAAACGTTATCGTTTTGCTATCAAGAATATTTCGACGAGGGGGTCATTCTCTCGTCGTAGCACAATTTAAAATTTTTAACGCAATAATATACGCCTTATTGATATACGTTATTATATTTTCTTCGCGAAAAAATTTTTTTCTACAGGTTTTCTTTTTCCTTTCTATTTTTTTTTTTTTTTAGATATACCTTTATTATGTCTCGATAAGATTTATCGTTGAAGAAACGCAGCTTCTCTCGATTTTCTATCTCAGCCGTCTTATAAAATAAAATTAAAAGAGGAGAGGCGTTCACGTTCGTCATTTCTGCGTTCTTTCAACGTCTTGAAGCACCGCAAAGCGATTTTAAGACGTGCGCGTCTTCGGCGCGGACTTCAAGTACCTTATGCTTTCTGTTCTTGAGCGCGGAGACCAATTCTTGTAATACCTTCGACTATTGCCAAGATCTCGCGATGTCGTCCATCTTGCAAAGTGATGTCTCAGCGTATTCTGGACCTCGGTATTGAGAAAGCAATAGAATAGCGTCACCAGCAATCCCTGTCATAAAAAGAAAGATTTTATATTTCCTTTTTTTCATTCGATTCTTCTTAGAACTATTATTTTTTAAGGGATTTCATAAAAAAGAAAAAAAAAACCGCGACACTCAAAACGTGCATTAACTTTCCAAACGGTCAAAACTCTTAGAGAACGATCCTATTCTTCTAAAAGCTTTTCTCCAAAGTTTCTTTTCGTTCTAATGACGAGTGTAACAAAAGCTTACCGTTAGAGAACCTTTATGTCGTAATATTACCTGAGAAGAGAGTAACACAGCACGGGTGTAAGAAAATGCATTAGCTGCTTGACCCTCCGTTGGCCCTGCGAGAACCAGAACGTATGTTACTCCAAGAAGCGGTATCAGCACCAATAATGCTTTGCTAGCTTTCCTATACTGTTGCGTTTCTGCATTGTTTGCAGACCATAATTTAGTGATCAGTACCTATTAGAAATGATGATAAACCAATTGAGTTAACGTTCATTCGTACGAGAAAGATTACGTTCTACATATTTAAAATCTAAGTACTCACCCACATGATCAAGAATAAGAAAATCACATTCACGGCAAGAACTATAATGACAGATGCTTGATAAATCCAATCGTAAGGATGTGATGTCATCCATGGACAATGCTTCCAAAGTGCAATATTCTGTAAAATATGATCGATATCATCGATCTTTAATGTTGAACATTTTGATTTATTTAATTTGTCATCTTTATACCTGATTTCCTTGAGTGACAAAAGATTTGGCGAGGCCCCAAATGGCTATGATGAGAATTGGAAAACCTTCAAATCAGATTTACAAATTATATGAGAAAAAATAAAATAGCAGAATATGAAATTTGTCAATGAAAAAATATAAAATAACTTACCCCAACCTATTACAAGACACATTCTTAGTTGAATATTATCTCCCGTAAAAGTCCTTACAACTAACAAATAGAGATACAATCCTGAAATAAGAGATAATAATAACTAAGGAAATTTCTTTAATACTTTGTTCAAATTTATATATAACACTAATACATCTTCAACGAAGGCATTTTTCGCGTATTCATTTATGTTTAATATAATATAATACTGACCTTCGACAAACATCCAGAAGAAATTGGTCAATTGAAAATAATGGAGAAGAGAGAAAAATATGACGCAAGTTGGTATGTCTGTTTGCATGGAGACCTAGTAAGAAAAGAAATTGGTCAATGATATTGATTTGCAAATTAATTTAATGAGACGTCTTTTTTAATTTATTCATTATATAAAATGTTCATACGTTAGAAAATACTTCGATTGCCACTTAATCTGAAACTTTAAATCTATGAATCGTGAAAAGGATTATGGATACATTACTGAAGCTTACTTGATCGAAATCGTGCCGATGAAAAAGCACGTGCTAGAAATAATTCATTCGTTTTACGGTAAAATATGTGATAATTTTTCAATATACAGGTATCCAGGAAGCCGCTTATCGTGATATTTAATGGCCGATACTGTTATTACTTTGTATTATTCCGAGATTACGAAAGATAAATCATGATGATTCTATTATCGTAAAAAATGTTGATAAATAAGAAATTTACGTGGCAATTATTAACTATACCTGCATTGCAGTAGTTAGTATCCACATAAGATCGGCCAGAATGTACGTGAACATTAAATTTATATGTATATTGTTTCTTAGACATCTCAGTTCCCTATAACAAAAAGAGAGAAAACAAATTATTCGATAATAAAACATCTTATATTACCAAATATTTCAATAATAATATATTCGATAATAAAACATCTGATATTTCCATATATGTACATTCAAAAAATAATCAAACACGGAAATTCCATCTCTGAATTCACAAAGAGAAATGTACCTCAATGAAACCACTCATGATGGTGGCATAAAATATCAAGTATTATGTAACAAATGTTTCTTTTTATTGTAATATCATAATAAAAGAAAAAAAGAATGTTTAGAATGTTGTCAGGTGACTTTTCTTAGTTTTTTACAAACATTCTTTACCTTAACAAAATATGTCGTACTTACTTAAAATATAAAAATATGGAGACAGCTATTGCTAGAGTACAAAGAGACAAGCTATAGCCAATGAAATATATTTTTGTTGTAATTTCTACATCAGCTTCAATGGTTAACGGTCGAACATCATGGCACGAAGAATAGTTCGAATAACTATCCCATGTACCATTTGGCCAACACCATCGACTTGCATTTTCTGTGAAGAAAAAAATTACCACTTTAAATACTCCGTTCGGTTTATTAATTCTATATTTAATTAATAAACCGAAGTATATTAATTATGCTCAGCTTTATCTTTAAGATTTATATATCTAAAGCTTATAATTTCGCATACGTAATATAGCTTGAAAATGCTAATGACCTCGTTTTCAGAAATAGGTTATTATGAGAGATGGGTACTTTATCGCACAATTTTACCTATCTTGTGTTTCTTTCTTTCTTTCTCTTTTTCTCTCTGTCTCTCTCCTTTTCTTTCTCTGTTTCTCTATGTTTAAGCATCATACTGACCGATTATCATTATATCATTAGATTCATAGTCTTTTGCTTGAAAAAACATTTGTGCCATCAGGAATTCTTTTTGCTAGATCAATGTCGTTTCAACGTAGTCAAATCAAATCTATACTTGTATCATTCGAACGAAGCGCAAAGGAAGTATATAATTCGACCACTTTGTAGAGATCTATATTATACATTCGTACAGCTCATTGAAAAAATAAAACGATGATTGGAAAATGCAAAAGTGTATTTGAATAAGACCCATCCAGACGTATTTAAACATTCTTTTCTATATTTTTTTTTTTCAAACTTCATTCGAGTTAAGTTCCTCTACTCATAAAAATATTTTCAGAAAAATATAAGAGGAAGCGGATTCTCTATTTTAACCTCTTATGCAAGGATACGTATTGGAAATTTCAAATCCACATTCGTTCGAAAGAATTGAGTTATTCAATGTGACCTCCTTTTTTTCGTATTCTTGTATATCGATCGAAAAACAGAAATATCGGGAAACGGCAATTTTTATTAACCTTTGTCGGGATAGTTATTATAGATCGTATTGCATTATTCACGAAGCAATAGAGAAAGACATTCGAAGTCTTTTTGAATCCTTTCTAAAATAGTCACAAGAACACCGGGTGAACTTTCGACGTTTGGCCTATAAAATAAAACTCATTTGACACCAATGCCATTTTTTTTCTTTTTTTTTTTTTGATGTGCTAATCGATAACGCAGAAGAAAAAGAAAGAGAATTTATAACGCAATAGATTTATGCTCTTGTGAGAGCATAGTTAAGTTTTGTAAGACGAGATGAGAAAGATAAGACGTAAGGAGATATATCCAATTGTCAAGTCGGAAGTTCATTATTATCGTTCGAAATAAAAGTAATAATTAGAAGATAATAATAATAATAATAATAATAATAATAATAATAATATAATTATTATTCTTATATTATTATTATCAACTCAAGAAAGACTCTTTATATGGGTTACTTGTTGCATTTTCGATCATTCTTCAAATATATTGATAAACGTTAAACACGAGTCTTGAATAAAAATGAATGATAGAACATAATTATGTTGATGGATTCATTAAAATAATAATACGATCCAATGTAATACGATGGATCATCGATTGTTTTTACATTCATTTAATGATTTTTCTTTTTAATAAATAAAAGTAATGTTATCGTAGGTATATTTAAAATGTACAGATAATATTTACGTATTTCGATTAAATATCTATTTTCTTTATTCAGGATAAAACGCATAGAAAGTGCAGATTTTATCGCAATGAAATATGCCCCAAGTCGGTGTAAAGCGTAGATACGGAGTATACGGCTGTTGTTTGCAATGCGGTAAACAAGGCAGTCGCGTGTATAATGAAATATTGCAGTATAGAAACAAAGACCGAGCTTCTCTACCTTCATCTATCACCGTCTCAATGCATTTTACGAAAATAAGCATGCTAAATTTTTTTTTCCTTTCTCTTGCAATGACACGCTTAACTTCCATTTCATAAATAAACTCTCGTTAGTCTACCTTTTTAATAAATATTTTCATATTAATAACGAAAATGTCGTTAATTAAAGAGAAAAAAATGGACAATTTTTTTTTCACGACATTATTATGATACAATCTATCTCAAGTAGTTTTTCGTTGCTAATTATTTACAGAGAACTACGAAAATAATTATAAAATTCTCCAAAATGTAATTAATCCATTTGTTCTTTAATTTATTATTAATAAGATTATTATTAATTAGCTATGTTTATTTAATCACTATTTTATCGCATTTCAAGTAAATATGATTTCATACTTTATTAATAATTGTAATTTTAAGTGTTATTTATGTCTAAGAAATTTTTAATACCCCTTAAGGTAGGCAATATATTTATTCATAAGCATATCGTACTTTACTTACCATGAAAACTTAAAAAGTTTCTTACCGACGTATGGTATTTACTATTATGATTACCAATAAAGTATAGGGGGATGTTTCTTTCCATGCAATGAAATATTTCGTATTTAATGCAAATTTTTATTCATCGAATTATTATATAGATACACACATATATACACACACGCATACATATTTAAATTTATCCAACAATATATTAAAATATCAAGCGTATCGAAGCCTCTATATTTTTTTTTTTTAAATATTCTTCCGTGTATCGTTACAAATACATTTATTTAACGAGTAAAGAGAAAAGCCACGATCTCTCGGTGTAGTCATCACCTTTGGTAGTTCCTATGGGAAATCTTTCAGTACCAAAAGGGAATGGTTTATTTCTTAACTAATAACATACGATAATGTAAATTCAAAATTCCAATGGACGCAAAAATCGATTATTTTTAAATTACCATTCACTATTAGCCTATAAAAAATTGTCGATTTGAAAAGATCATTTCATCTACGAATTCATTTTGGGTAAATAAAATTGAAGTGTTTTAGAAAAAAAGGAATTGTATGCCATTGAAAATAGATTTTTGCAATCCAATTCGATCATTCGGAGTGCCATAAAAATTGTCGATAATCTTATATATAATACCGAAAGCCATCCCTTAGGGTAGACAATGTATTACGATAGATAAATTACCTCCTGTTGAATATAGTTGGGAAATTAATTTAGTACGAAAAACTTTTCTTTCTTTACTTTTCTCATGAGTTTTTCCTTTTCAGTGGTCCATTTTGTCTACATGAGGAGTTAAAACATTTGCAGCGATTCGTGTAAATGGCAGCTGCGATTCGCGTCTGTGCGTCTGCTGTCGTAGCTTTCATGTTATCTGATTATATACGTCAGAGCATGAGCATGAACTTGTGAACATGTAAATCAGTTCTTCAAACATAGCCGTAGAAATGTCTCTTATATATAAATGCGATTAACCGATTCAGTTGATTAAATATCTCTTTTCCATTTCCAATTTAGTTGTCGACGTAAAAGATAACGATTATAAATTGCGAGATATTGATTGCATTCTCTGTCAACGCATCGCTCAACCGTTCAAAATCGTGGATTATATTCGAGAAACGTGAAAGCTTGTTATCGCGTGTAAATGATGAACGTTCGGCACTTATTTCGCCTTTATTTTCCATGAAAAGGCGTTTACCTCTTTCATCGAACACATTTATCGTTGAAAATCGATCGAACTTTCTCGAACAACGTGTGAAAAGAAAAGAGCAACAAGGGTGAGGCATGTATGTACGTGTTGTGCTTGGGCGTTCGCCTAGCTGTAATGAAGATGCACACTTAATTGCTGTTAATTGTACACAGTCGTTGGTTTAGTGTTGTAGCGTTAATTGGATCGGCAGCTTCTGAACGGACTCCTGTGTGTTATGTTTCTGTGGTTTATGAAGGCAATGCCTCGACCAAATACGCGGAGCGTACCACATTAATTTCAACTCGATGTACATATATAACGCACGTATATATATATAGATAATGCTTCGAGAGAAACATGCAGATGCCTCGAGGATAACTACGAATACGTTATCGTTGAACGAAATCCACTTCTGTTGTTAATTACTTTGAAAATCTTTCCCTTTCTAATTTTGTAATGCGTTCAGGGAAGGATTTATTATTAGTGTCTTTCCATAAACATTTCACTAAAGCATAGTGAATCGAATATTTTCTACCAGAGCTTTTAAATATTTTCATAGGAACTTTAGATCGTACCCGTCTAAAGTGCATCCACGTTTCTATCGTATCACGTTCCCAAACGTTTACAGGCAAGGTCGTAAATTCAATTACAAGTCTCTTGCAACAAAATAATCTCGTTTTCTCTCTTCAAGCTGTTGCAGTAATCAAGGTCCATCAGTCATTAGTTTCGTCGTAGGAAGTTTTATCGTTGCTGCGTTAACTAGGGACAGCGATATTGTTTTTTCAATAATGAACGTTTCTTTTCCATTCCAACATGTAATTCGTATTGTAAGGTACAATATTTATGGAAATGAAAGGAATGGAAGATAAAGTTACGTAAATCAGAGATATTTTAATAACGATACGAATTTGGCTAGATTGCACGTACTAGAAATAAATTTAATCTCGCGATTGTTATTGATTTATTTTGAAGCTGTTGTTTGTTGAATCCCAATACATTTTCATGTGTATACATGAAACAATGTATACAATTGATATTTGTAAAATATCAAATATTAGTGATTTTGCATTAAGTTCGTAAACTTTCATATATGCATATAAATGGTTGTACGAATAATTTAACATGATCACAAGATTAAATATTTTAAGATTTTAATCTTTTACAATGAAAATACATCGAAGTAGTTTCCAAACGTACTCTTAAGAAATATGTTTTATTTATTCACTTTTCGATCCTTTTCGACTTTATCATAAAGATCAACAAGATAAAGGTAAGTTGCGCAGTTTCAAAGGAACATGGGTATTGTCGAGATACAAATACCTAAGCTTTTGATGAAACTTCATTCAACGTTCATTCATACGTTCTAAAGTGCTTCCAAATGTGGCATGTTATTAATATTTAATTAAAATTTAAACTGAAAGAGTTCAAAGATGCATAATTAATCGATGCCAGATAAAAATAACATTTTTTATTTTGAAAGATTCTACTTTTGAGAAAATCGAAAAGTATAAATTTAATAATTGTAAATATTCACAATTAGTTCATTTTTATTTGGATCATCAAGATTTCTTAATAAATTATTTTTCTGTTCTTTTTTCTTTTTCTTATTTAAATGAAAAAAAGATATTTTTTATTTTATTTCCATTATAAAGTTTGTTAATTAAATTCATTAATTATTATATTTTTCTTTCACGTACATGCAACATGTAAGTAAGTTGAGTATAATAAATCGAATATCGTGTCACGAGCGGTCTCATAAATAATGGTCTCACCAAGAAGAACGTTATTTCACTATTATGAGAAGAGGAACACGTTCCCATTCCAGAACGTACCAGAATAATGATTGCAAATAGGTTAAATAAGCTATGATATCTTCTCCATGATATGGTAAACGAAAATGGCATTGTTAATCCATCATCATTAAGATTCTAAATGTTTATCGATATTTCTTGATATACAGATAGATTATCTTCTTATCATTGATCGCAAATGTAATGCATTACAAAGGATGAAATGGTTTTTTCTTTCTTCCATCGGAAATAGCATTTCATTGGGATAACGGTTATTATATGTTCTATCATAACAATCGAAGAGACAATATACATTGGAAGTTTTACCTTTAATCCGGCGAAATTTCAAGATACTTGAATATTATCGATAATATCTGGATGACACAACTATATAATGTATATCGTTTCAATATACAAACAGAAATATAGAGAGATGGAGAGAGAGAGAGAGAGAGAGAGAGAGAGAAAAAGAGAGAGAGATAGAAAGAGAGAGAAAGAGAGAGAGAGGAGAGAAAGAGAGAGATGAGGCGAGTTGAAAACGTTCGCTATAACAATGTGGTTACGAGAAGTTTGCAAGTGTTTAAGTTACATGAAATTATGATAGTGATGTTTCTAATTATGATTCAAGAATCGTTTTGAAACTTATCTTCTATTTCCAAATTCAATTAAGGAAAAAATGGTTCGTTAAATATTTTTCTACGTATTCGTTTATTCCTCAAAATATCATGAAATATTGAACCATTTTATATATTCATTCAAGATTCGAAATGAAACAGAAAAGGAGTCCTATTTGTTTTGTTCCTTCTTGAGTGAAATGTCATGGTGTTCGGAAAAAAAAAAGAAAAAAAAAAATAAAATGAAAACAAAAAGATAAAAGAACGACATTTAAAATAGATTTATTTTTTATGTTTCAATAATACTATATTTCTAGCAACACATTTGTTAAATGATCCAATCACGGTAGTGTATAACAATGTATTTTTCGCTTCTATTCAGTTTTCGTAAATTAATTCCGGTGTTATATTCATCACATTTGGTGATCAAAAACGTACGAATCGGATTTCAATTGAAAAATCAAATAATCCATTAGTTGAAATTTCGTTATTTTTAGTGAACGTGAAACTTATGTTTGTAATCGTGTTACCTCCACTCATGTACAACAAAAATTTCATGACGACGAATTGGAGTTCAGATTGTTCATTTATAAAAGTTAAAAAGGGTAGACAGACTTAGACAAGGGTAATACATTAACTGTAAAAATCTGTAGGGAAAGATTTTACAAATTCCGTTCACGTCGCGCCATTCCACACGCGTTATTACCAATATCATTTGTTAACATTTTTTAAACTCACTATCCCTTTGACTTTTTCGATAATGTGACTGGGAGTGTCTTCGCCATAGTTAGAAGAAGGGTGTCTATCTGGGTGCCTGTCGATATCGTTTCATAAACTTACTGGTATCCTTGGAGACTTAAAGGAAAGAAAAGAGAACTGTAAAGGAGGTGAAAGAAAAAGAGAGAGAGAGAGAGAGAGAGAGAGAGAGAGAGAGAGAGAGAGAGAGAGAGAGAGAGAGAGAGAGAGAGAGAGCTCTGTGACACAACAACGTGTCGGTATACCACAAGCTTTTCAGAATAATGAAATTTCATTAATAAAGCTTTTTCTCCTTCACAAAGTATTTTTTTTTAATACAAATACTAACATATAAAATAACTAGATCGTTCTCTTATTCAAACTTCAGTCTTTATTGTCTTTTTTAAGAAAATATAAATCTCTTATGAAAATAAAAAAACGATGTTCTGCCTCTTCGTTAGAACAGGTATTTAACTTTTATTATTTCATTAAAAGAAAAGTCGTTATATTACTCATAGATATTCGTTACGTCAACGTTATACTTCAATATTATCTCATTTTCCGTATCTCCTATTTCTCTCGTTTACTCTCTTCCTCCGTTGCAAATATATTTCTTTATATACAGCGTTGTACTAATTAGCATTGTATTTATGATTCTGGGTCGATTTTTGCGTGCGTTATATTATCCGACTTATGAATTTCATATAAAAATCAAATTGATAAAATCTTTCTCGAGTATGAGAGATTAAAAACGATCCTTATTTATTTTTATTACTTTTACGAATTTAACGTTGTAATTTCGATTGCGAGAATTAAACGTCTGATGTAATTCATTTCGGTTTTATATAGTTCTTCTTATTAACGATTACTTTTGTATTACGTTTGAAAACCCAGTTATATACAAGAAGCAATCGATTCTTCTTTCTTGTAGGCACACCTATATTTGAAACAGAAAAAAAAGGAAAGAAGGAAAAGAAAAAAAAAAAAAGAAAGGTATGAATTTCAAAGAGATAATTTTTCTAGCTACCTAGAAATACTAATTAAATTCAATGTGTTATCCGATACATTCATACATTACTTTCATGAAATTATACAACTGAATTGAATTATACTGAGAGGAAGTTGAAGAAGAAAAAAAATATTTACTTTCCCCTTTCATAGCTTCGAATTTTAATTTTGTTTTTTCTTGTTTTTTTTTTTGTGTTATTTTGTTTTGTGCACATGGCCACCACCTCTGTTATTCCTATTCGATAGATGATCGAAGGACTATGCGTGTCGGATCAAATTCGCCAGAAAAATGCCTGTTACTATTTTGTTGGAAAAATCAATGACATCGAATGCACGCAGAATGCACGCTGAATATACGCTTCGAATTGGTTCGGTAAAAGAAACAGACGAAGAATTCATAACGGCCAATCAACGGGACAAATTGATAGTGAAAAGTCAAATAAATTGTTATGTCTGTGAACGTGTAAAACTTCTTTTTTTTTATGGCTTATCGACATCTGTGTATAGTCTAAATTTGTGATTCGCAATCGATTATCGTTCCTGTTTGAAAATTGAAAAAAAAAAAAAAAAAGAAAAAAAAACAAATAAAAATATTCGATACGAAAAGCAATATGTTACGTAAAGATTAACGACGATTGAAAATTAGTTATAATTGGCACATATATATATATATTACATTATTATAGTACACTATTATAATAGACTATATATATCGTAACAATTTACGTTATATTTAATGTAATTAAATTGAATCGTTGAAGCTGCGTATAAACAATAAATCGAATCGTACGAGTTAAGGATGATTATACAGGCAAGCTTCCGCTATTAGAACCATGATAATGGCGGAATATTCTTTAGAGATAATTGCATCGGTTTCAGGTAATTAGCAGCCGATGAATAATTATTGCGAACGTAGTAGTTAGGATAGGTTCGATGAGCGTTCTCATAGCGTTCGAAATAAATCGGAAGCAAATGTGTAAGTGCATTCGATTCTGAAGCATATTAATCGTAGTAATATTTTTCTATACGATTTCTCGCGTATATAAATAATATTATTTTCTCTATTAATAATTAATCGAGTGAACAAAATATTCATTCTTATTGGTAGAAATTACAAAGCGAAAAAATCAGTTCGAACAGATAAAAAAGAAAGAGAAAGAGGAAGAGAGAACGTTTTTCAATGAATACTTATATCAAAGAGACAACAATGTTGAATTAAAAGTGATTAATTGTAACAAACTGAATTAAATGAAATTGCAACGTACGAACACTAAAAAAAAATCTTGCATAAAAGTATTTCGAAGAAAAAAGAAAAAAAAAACAATAAAAAGAAATAAGTTCGGCGCTGAGTAGCATTATTAAGTAAACATTAAGAGTCTAGATATATCGTTATTAAACGAAAATCAATCGGACCCTTGTAATATATTCTTTATACGATAAAGAAGAAGCACAGTCGTTAACAGAGTCGTAAAAGGTGAACTCTTGGTTCGTATCTTATAATGTACATTTGAGACACACGTTTAAAAGAGTAAAAAAAGTCGATTACTTCGGTAAAAGATGATATATGGATCATGGTAAGTCTTAAACGTATCATCTTGGTCAAGGTGAAAAGTAATCGATGTTATATATAAATCAACAAACAGTCGTAAATAAAGAAGGCTTTTAATATAGACAGCGTTATGAACTATCTTCTAGTTTAATGTAAATTTGTAACATCCCTTTGTAGGTTCAATTAATAGTTTTATTCCGGATATACTAAAGAATATATAGCGCTTAACTAAGGCAATGATTTATTAATTATTGCACCACCGGAATTAATTGGTATGGGAATAATCATTTGCTAAAGGTCCAAATCCTGGATTTCTAGAAAGAGGGAACGTAGAACGACGGGGAAATATTTGATATATATACATATATGCACATATGTATATATACATATCTATATGTATGTAGATATTATTGATCGATTCTTGGAATTTCGAAGATAGAATTTACTATTTTTCTTTTTCTCTCTTTTTTTACATGAATTTCTTCTTAAAACGTCATGTTCACAATTATGTCAACATGTTCGCAAATTACAATTGACAAAGAGCTTAATTAAGATCGTACCTTTCTCAAGCGCGTAGACGTTTTTGTAATATGATCACGACGTATTACATACTTATATCACGTATGCGCATACTACACGCTTATACTACATAAAGCTGTCACTGTTATTTTATCGTGATACAAGCTGTCACTTGGAAAATAATAGACAGCTCCATTGAGATTGAAAATGAGTAGCAAACGAGATTTACCGAGCATCGAATGAAGAACGTTATCGAGTCAGGTAAAATATCGATTCTACGAACGATTCCCTATGTTACATCGTCATATGCATGAGTGTAATAATTTATTATCACGTTGACTCTGTGACAGAGAGCGAGAGAGAAAGAGAGAGAGAGAGAGAGAGAGAGAGAGAGAGAGAGAGAGAGAGAGAGAGAGAGAAAGAGAGAGCAATTACATTAAATCGAGAAATCACAAAGCAGATGTCGAAAATGTGCGAACATTTCTTCTTATTTATTAACTCTCGCCTCACTTGATGAATATTTGATACATATTTGTATAAACATTGACAACTGCATTGATCTGCAGTTTTTCTGCAAGTGGGGAAAGAAAAAAAAAAGAAAAAAAAAAAAAAACGAAAAATAAAAAAGAAAAGAGAAAAGACAAGACCGAAAATTAAAAAAAAAAAAAAAGACATTGAAAAGAATGAAAATATTTCTTAAAGAGCACGAACGTAAAATGCGACTTTTCATTAATCCTCCCAAGTACGATTTCGTTAGTTGCGAGAAGATAGCAGCTCTTAATTAATTTGACTCAAGACAATATTTGAGTGGCTCTTCCTCTCGCGTTTACCATTAAAATATCTCCTATCATTTCCCGAGGGTCTTTTTCAAGCATTCCCCAAAGTCATAGTTGATAGACCGTCTATCAAATTCACACGAAAATTTAATTACAAACCATCGTGGAATGTAGACACGTTTCTGTCATTGAGATCTTTCATCTTTTTCACTTGTCATACATTTTAAAATGATTTCCGTCGTAATACAGATATGAAAAACATTTTCAATTTGTTGCCGTTCTTGTTTTCTCTCTCTCTCTCCCTCCCTCCCTCCCTCTCTCTCTCTCTCTCTCTCTCTCTCTCTCTCTCTCTCTCTCTTTCGAATTTCTTGAATTGATTTTCAATTCGTCCTGCATTGATAAGACGTAAATCCAATTAGGATCATTGATCTGTGAAATACCGTCGGCACATCGAGATATTTCAAAGACGCTTCGTAATCTTATTTTTCTTTTTTTTTTTCTTTTCTTCTTAATCTCTTACGTATCTTATTTTATTATTTTCAAAGTTAACGTCATTTTGATTCCTGGATCCTGGATGTATAAGTTTACATTTTAAATAATGACTATAAACATTTGTTTAAATATTATGGCTAATACGTTTATATAATTAATTAATTGGATTTTGGCTTGTATGATCAAATAATACGAACTCGCATATGGCCGAAATTATGAAATATCATTCTTAAGTCTCATATGAGAGATTACACCTAAAAGATCTTGAGAAGTTTTTTTAATTAATTCTCATCAATAAGTTAATAATAAAACAATTAAGTCAGTCCTTGATAAATCATTCACGATAAAGCCACAACTTAATCACGATCTCAGATATTTGTAGAGCAATTACTATAAAATAATCGAAGCGGCAAATATGCCATTTTCTGACCGATATTACATTATATGTATAAAGTTCTCTTTCTCTCTCTCTTTCTCTCTCTTTCCCTCTCTCTCTCTTTTTATTTCGTTAAAGAACAATAATATTATTATAAACGAAAAATCAATTTTTAATAATCACATTTTTGTATATGTACTTGTATATGAACTTGTGTGAGCAAATGAGTGAGAAAGAAAGTTAAGAAAAGTAATTCGGATCAATTCTTTCTTCGGGGTGAATTAAATTTCCAATTTTCGATTCTCTTTTATAGATTTTGAAGTTTCCATCGCCGAAGGGAAAAAATTTGACGGAGTTGATACGGATAAAAAACGAACTTTATTCGGAATACAAAAGAATCTAATCGCTAGTAGGTACTATTGCTTTCTAAATTCTAATTTAAATCCTCGTTCGTAAATGATATAATTTTGTGGCGATAGAAGAAAAAAAAAACAAAAAGAAAAAAAAACAAAAAGAAGAAAAAAGAAAAAATTAACAATATGTAAATAAACCGAAGATGTAAAATGTAGATACAGCTGTACGATTTTACAATTAATTTTACTTTTACAAGTTTCACGTCACAGAATGTTTTTGATTATAAAAAACTTTCTTTATCACTAGACACTACGATACAGTACAGTATCTCGGATTTCCATTTATTTTTCTTTTTTCAATGATTTTATTATTTTAACCGTGCCATCACTTTTCTGTTCGGTTGTCCGTCATGCATTTCAACGATAACGAATAAACGAATAAACTTTTTTGATGTTTTTCATATTCGATTTTATAAAAAAAAATACTAGAGACATTTTTTGCCAGGAATGATATCGTAATAAAGTAAAAATGAATGTAAGATCTAAAATCGAGAGGATGATTACAAAGAAAATTTCGATAGTTGTCAAAAAGTATTTTAATACTATAGTATTCGGTATTTCGCTTCGAGATTCGTAAGAACTCGTTGAGATTCGCTTTTAACTCTTATACGTACAGATATGTAACGATACTGTAAAAGCCTATCAATTTAAAATCCATTATCTTGTAATTTAATATAATGTTCCAAGCTTCGTCTGGAAATATAATGGGACGATGTTCGACATTATTCGGTGTAAGAATAAATTACATAATGATCCTCTTTTATATGCGTACGCCATATATATGTACATGTGTGTATGTACGAGATGATACAATATATCGAGGATGTATAAAGAGAAACTAAGAGAAAACACTTCCAAAAGATATTATCATAGCACTGTTATAATTAATCAAAGTTAACGTTATAGTCATCACGTTATAATTATCGTGTTGACGTGGATATTTAATTTTACAAAATTAATTCGAATAAATTCGTAAACCCTCAGAATATTCAAATACCTTAGGAAACATCGAATAACTCTGAGAAGCATTCTTCTTCGGACATTCTCCCGAGAGTCGGTTTAAAAATTTCACTCGAATTCACGTAATACATAGTTATGCAGGCAAGGAATTCCTTATGGATTATAAGTTCCGTTACTGCGACTTGCTCTTAGTGATATTACATCATGATAATATAATTCAATATTAAATGACTGTTAAAATGACTAATGCTTCCTTTAACTTAAAACTCCTCATTTGTCTATCTCCTTGTTAATCTGTGATCTTGTATAAAAAAAATCATCATTTTTTCAAAAAGATGGAATAAACCAACTTCAATGTACATAAATAGATATCTGCACAAATGCAAATTGATAAATCGTACTTGAATGACTTTCAAAGATTTTGATTAACGTACAACTATAATCTTTAAAGAACATTTTCCATTTAAAATCGTCGCACAGTAGTCCGACCTTTTTTTCTTTTTCTTTGTTTTTCTCCCTCTCATTCGAGAAAGAACTGTGCGAGCAAAATGAAAGCAAGGATAAAATAGAGATAATAGAAAGAAAAAGATTCTGAAAGATAGACTTTCGTACTCACGAGTATTGTCGTAGCGTATGCCATTGAGTTCTTCGAAGCAAGGTAATATGGCGAGAGTTCCCGGTGACGTATATGGCCAACAGAGTAAAGAATCCCAACTAACTTCGCAACCCTCACGACCCTCCGTAGCTCCTCCTTCCTCAATTCCACCATTGATGACTAGATGTTGGTGTCGTTCTTCTGACCGAGCTTCTAGGTCTTGATGCTTTCGTGCGAAGCACTTGAATTCTTCCTCAGAGAAGGACTCCTTCAAGTCGTTAATGTAGTTCAAAACGTTTTGCACGTAATTACTATCTATAGGTTCGTCGCCGTTCGATGATAGCCAACTAGCCATGTCTACTCTTTTTCTCTCTCTCTCTCTCTCTCTCTCTCTCTCTCTCTCTCTCTCTCTCTCTCTATTCTCTTCCTTTAACTCTACAAACTACCAAGATTCAACCGATCGGATATGGTTGGAAAAAAAAGGAAGTTGACAAATTACGTGAGGAGAACCTTTTAACGAAAAATTGCGTGCATTCTTTTCTATTTCTCTTTTCTATTTTTAGTAAGTACTTTTCTCTCTCTCTTTCTCTCTCTCTCTCTATATATATATATATTTTTTTTTCTCTTTGTCTCTCTCTCTCTCTCTCTCTCTCTCTCTCTAGTTTTCGATTATCCTTTAAATATAGTATCAAGTATGGATATAATTTTTACAAGTTCTCATGGCTTATGAGTTTATTCGAAGCAAAAAAGAAATGAGATATCCTCTTCTTGTTTTTGATTTTGAATTGGGACGGATCCCACAACATCAACGTTTGCTGGTATTAAAAGTCGTAGAAGTTGGTATGATGCGGCAAAAGAATTATATACTCTTTCTCTGATATTCCTTATCTGGTTACAGCAAAAGTTCATAATGTCAACGATATGCCCTCCGGAAATCGGTCGTTCTTTTTATTTCCCGTTGCTGCAGTATTTACGTTGTACATACGTGGAACTTCGAATTGATGTCCACGGCAAACTGTTTTTAAAGTGCAAACGAAAGAAAAAAAAAGAAAAACAAGAAAGAAAAAAAGGAAGTCCATTAAAAATTGATCTTCAGTCAATTATAAGATGAATGAAAAATAAATAATAATGTCAAATATTTGCGTTATTATACTGCAACTATATTTTCTTAGGTCGTTATTTCATGTAGTAAAGTTTTTGTAATAACGTTTTATTTTCGTGACGCGAATCTCGATGGCAATCACTTCTTCTTTCGTTTTCTCTTTTCTTAGATGGAACAGAGAGTTTCATTTTAGAGCCCATTATCAGTAAAAAAAAAAAAGAAAAAGAAAAAGAAAAAAAAGGAAAAGATTTCTCGTGAAATCGAGATATTTTAACCTTTGAAAACAAAGTTGTAATATAACACTATCGATGAGTATCTTACTTTTGATATGTAATCAAAGTTAAATAAGAAAATGTTTTTTTTTCTTTTATCGTTAGGAAATATTATCCTCTCGCTTTGAACGTCATAATTTGGATCACAGGATGTTCTCATAATACGTATGTACTATAGTTTATTGTCCCAATAAAGATCAGAATCGTCTACTCGATCAATGAATACGATTCTTGAATAGCATCTAGCGAAACTCTCGAAACGTCAAGCGAATTATCGATCCTCCACTCGAAAGGACGTGCATCTGTTAACCACCATGCGTGATCTGGTAGCACCTTCTCTCAACACAAGACAATTTGCTTCTAACTTCCCCTTATCACATATAATGCGTACTTTTCATAAATATCTAACATCGATATACTATTATTAAAGAGAAATATATATATATATATATAATATAATAATATAATAATAAATATATATATATATATGTATAAAAATAATAAAATTAAAAAATCGTCAGTAAAAAAAACGTTAAGATTTCAGTTCCTTTTAAAACGGTTTCAAATAATCAAGGTAGAAGGCAAGCTAGATCACTACGATTAAATAGAGATGACAATTCCTTTACTCAACGAGATAAGATATTTCGAAATTCTCTAAACGTTATAAGATAATTTTCTTAATGAATCTTTTGGGTTCGATAGTATCGTTTAAAGTGACTTTGAAAATTTTATGTTCAAAGACATACTTGGTCTCCATAGAATAATTTTATTTCTCCCTTTAAGATACGAGAGACGGCTTTCAAAGGGAACGATGAAAACGAGGGAGAATGAGGAACTCTCGTCCGTGACATAAAGTTAACAAAAGTACGCTTACACGAATAGTCCTCGAAACTTCCGCTGATATTATTCTCCGAGTTCTCTGCACTCGTGATCGCGTTTATGAATTCATCCTTATTGTTAATGTTTTGGTACCACGCGACGCAACGTACGGACAGACGGCATATTACTTGAGAATGAAGACATTGTAAATATACCTATAGAATAGAAATGAATTATTTTCTAATCGTCATTGGAGGATAAACATAACGTTTTACGTGTTTATATCTGAAAGATTAAAAATTTATGAACTTGAAAATTACTTGAGTGAAAATATGATTCTTAAAAATCACTTTATTATTTTAAAATGTCTTAAACATATTTTATATTTTCTCACTTAAATGAAATTTCATTTCGATTTTTTTTTCTTTTTATTTTTTTTAATTAATTATTATCTACTTTCTTAATGGTTTCTCTTTTCTATCTCCTCCATTTGACGTACCTATCTGGCAAGGAGAGATCGACGATTAAACGCTTCATGAGAGCTTTCGCTAGATCTTTCGCGAGAGCTTTCGTAACTCGAGTTAATGGACCGCCCATTTAACATTTGTGAGCGTGTATACGTGTGTCCCCTTCGAAATTCTGCAAATGGAGTACGATCGATTTTTCCTATTTGTATCCTACGTTGTCTTTCTAATTTTATTATATTTCATCCGAATTATCCCGATATCGGCTTTTTTTTATATCGTTTTTTAGATCATTTCATCTTGTTTATCAATAGAATAATGTCCCAAAATATCTTTTATCTAATACCTTAACAAAAAAAAAAAAGAAAAGATAAAAGAAAAGAAAAATGAAAAAAAAAGAGAAAAGAATTTCATCATTACGTAAATTAATCAAAGGAGTATGCAACAAGTATCAGAGCTCGGAATTTTTTAATTTATCGATGTGGAAGATTCTTTTGAAAGAATATATCGAACTCGTTGAATTCTCCAACTTTACAATTACATACTTTCGAAAGAAAAAGAAAAGGGAAGGGAAAAAGAAGAAGAAAAACAAAAAAGGGAAGAAAAACTGAAGTAAAACAAAATTCTCTTAGTAAAAGAAACTAAAAGAAAACTAAAAAAACAAAAAAAAATGGAAAAATGATATTACGCTGTGGTTTGTCGATGTGAACTTAAAATAAGTGTTCTCACACTAAAATGATACTCGAATCCTTCGATGAGATAAGAAGAAGAGACGGTACACGTGGTCGTAGAACGAAGAATAATAAAAAAGGAGTCCGTAGAGTCAGCGGAATTTGCGGATAATATACGGAAATCGCGAAATTCGGAGAATGCACCACGCTCTTGATATGGATTTCCGTCTGCACCTGAAGCCGGTGAGGACGACTGCCTCTCTCGACGTCGCGCGTTCTCGTGGAACTCTCGAGGAAGAGAGAAACGAGGTACGAGGGGGAGAATGTCTGTTTCTCTGTTTGTCTCTCTTTCTCTCTCTCACTCTGTCTCTTGCTCTCTCTTTCTCTCTCTCTCACTCTGTCTCTTGCTCTTTCTCTCTCACTCTGTCTCTTGCTCTCTCTCTCTCTTTCTCTCTCTCTCTCTCTCTCTCTCTCTCTTGCTCTCTCTCTCTTCCTCTCTCTCTCTCTCTCTCTTTCTCTTTGTATATAGGTGTGCACGCGTATGTGTAGAGTAGAAAGAAGAAGGGGGAGCATGCGCCGAGGCATGCATTTTGCGCCTGCGCAAATGAAACGCGCCGAAAGGACTCTCTCGAGCGTAAAAAGGATAAAAAGGATTATAAAAAAAAAAAAAAAAAAAAAAAAAGAAACAAGAAAAAAAACAAAAGAAAAGAAAAAAAGACTGAAAAAAAGACAAAATAAAGACAAAAAAGGGTGAAACAGAAAAACGAAAAAGGAGAAAAAGAATAAAATGGATTTTACTTTGTACTGTTCCTCATATTGCACTCGCGGAATAATTAAAAAAAGGAGACAAGTGTATGCAATTTTATTTGGATAAAACGATAAAACGATTCGACTCGCGCTTTCTATAGACAAACAAAGCTATTGATATTTCGTTAGATTTATTTGATTGTTCTTTAAATTTACAAATTTATATCAAAGGTGTGATAAATTTTATCGTGCCGATCAACGTGAGTAATTCACGATGATAAAGTTTTCTAGATGGAAAATGCCTTGTCGGCCGAGATGTGTCATCTAAAGTTGGATGAGTAAACTTGTTATCAAGTTCGATAGATCCAAGTTTAACGGGAGCTTTTCTTCCCGAAAGATACTCTCTTCGTTTCTTTGGTTTTCTTTCTTTCTTTCTTTTACTCTCACCTCACCTTTCCTTTTATTTCCCCCACTTATTGCCGAACGTTCTCTTAGATTTTCTATCAAGTTATTTATAATATTATTTATAATTTTCATTGGGAATAGGATCTAGTCATTGCATTTCCATTTACGTATATGGACTATAAATTCGTAAATGCAACGAAGCATAATAAAATAACGGGACCGGATCGTAAAGATTCGCGCATGGATACGGGGAAGAGAGAGAGAGAGAGAGAAAGAGAGAGACAGAGAGAGAGAGAGAGAGAGAAAGAGAGAGAGAGAGAGAGAGAGAGAGAGAGAGAGGTCGAGCGAATAAATCCTGAATGAGAATTCGTGGGGGATGCTGTAGAGTGCATGTGCGTGCGCAAGCACAGAATAACGTTGTTAAAGGGAGTACAAGCTCAGAAAATAATGATTCTTCTACATGTTCATGTGCAAATTTAGGTAAATTTGTATTATCATCCCTCGTACGTGAAATTACATACTCACCGAATTCGAAATGAAAACATTGAATAATTGTTTTTATATGTTCGACTGAACGTCGAGATCGATTAATAATAAAAATGTTTTCATTTTCACATGAAAAAGAAAAAAACAAATAATAAAAAAAAAAATTGTTTTAAAGTTCAAGAGTCTTATCAAGTTACCGTCACAGAAAATCCATCGTGTCCATCTTTGTAAAGGAAATATAATATTTCCATGATATTAATACAGATTGAACAGAGCTGGTTTGACAACTTGAAAAGGATTATATACAATCGTTTGACGTATTTATCCTATAAAAACTTATCCACAGAAAATATTCCTTTGCATGTTTTCGATAAAGTTAACGATAAATCATTATTTAGAAAAAAATAAAAAAAAATGCTCAATCTACGAAAAAGTAGTAGTCGTTTTAGTTAAAAGAATTTTGCTTATCTGGTAGCGAAAAAAAACATATATAGTGCGTATGTCAGGGATAAATATGTATGTACCTATTGCATGTAGAGTCGTAAAAGTAACGCTATCTTCTATCAACTGCTATAAATTTGAAATTGATCGCCAACAATTTTACGATTCTCTCTTGGCCGTTTAGTATCTCTCAAAATTAACGTCCTGTCTACGAAAAGGAACTAGATTATAGGTAGTACGTATAACGTTAGATACAATAAAAAATATTCTACATATATTCCCCTGATTATATAACTCGTTTATGATTTTAATAATATTTAAAGACTGATATCGGGTAAATAATATAAAAAGAAAACTTTTCTCTTAACTGTAATAATTTATACGCTTAAAGAAGAATCAAGTTATATAAAGTCTCTCAGTTTAGCATTCTGTCATGGTATACATGAAATATTCATTTAGTTGTAATGGTAAGGAAGCAACTGTCGAAAGTGGCACAGAATTGGTAAAGGTGTGAGACATTATTTTAAATTTAAATCGACAGAAACTGACAGTTTCCTATAATGAAACGAAGAATCCTTTACCGCGATACTATAAAGTATTAACTGTCA